CCCCTATCTTTCACATCTGATAGAGACAATCAAACGGTCAAGCGAAATGAGTCATGTGAGTGAGTGAGTATGTGTGCGCGTGCGTTCACAAGACTTTGTTTGAGCGTGATTACCGGCGGGGATGTTGGAGAGGGCATGTTGGATGGGCCGCGGAATGCGGTTGATGTCGCCGTAGGCAAAGATGGAGACGGCGTAGTTGGAGTTGACGAGAACGGAGGCTATTTTCTCGCGAGACAGAGTTAGCATCTTCACCGTTGGGAACGTGACAGCGGTCAATGTCCCATCACACAGAAATTTTGGCCTGCGAGTATGCCGTGGAGGTTGCCCGGATTGCCGACCATTCACACGCACCCACCGAAATTCTTTATTTCTTGCATCCACTCGAAATTCTTTATTTCTTGGTTTGAAGAATACAATATGATCATGCATTACTAATTCACCTATATATATATATATATATATATATATATATATATATATATATATATATATATATATGAGTGTTGATATTTTTCCCTCGAAAATGAATCAAAAGCATGGATAATTAGATGAAACCTATGCATACTACGGACATAAAACTACCTACTGGACATAAAACTCAAAAATAACAAGTTATATAAAAATATATTCTTTCACATTTGAATTTTATACCACTATAAAAAAACTGTTTTTTAATATTATAATAATAATATACATGTATTTTAATTTTTATTAAATCTTATTATTAATATTAAATTAAAAAGGAGGCTATGTTCTACAAGAGGGATTTAGCGTCTTCACCGTTGGGAACATGACAATGGTTAATGTCCCATCACACCAAAATTTTGGCCTCACGAGTATACGGTGGAGGTTGCCCCTCGATTGCTAGCCATTCACACGCACCCACCGAAATTCTTGATTTCTTGGTCTGAAGAATAAAATATGATCATGCACTACTAATTCACCTATATATTAATATATATATATATATATATATATACTATATATATATATATATATATATTTTAGTTGATATTTTTCCCTCGAAAATGAATCAAAAGCATGGGTAATTAGATGAAACATATGCATAGTACGGACATAAAACTACCTACGGACATAAAACTCAAAAGTAACAAGTTATATAAAAATATTCTTTCACATTTGAATTTTATACCACTCTAAAAAACTGTTTTTTAATATTATAATAATAATATACATGTATTTTAATTTTTATTAAATCTTATTATTATTATTATTAAATTAAAAAGGAGGCTATGTTCTGCGAGACGGATTTAGCGTCTTCACCGTTGGGAACATGACAGCGATCAATGTCCCATCACACAAAAATTTTGGCCTGCGAGTATGCGGTGGAGGTTGCCCCTCGATTGCTAGCCATTCACATGAACCCATCGAAATTCTTTATTTCTTGCACCCACTGAAATTCTTGATTTCTTGGTCCGAAGAATAAAATATGATCATGCACTACTAATTCACCTATATATATATATATATATATATATATATATATATATATATATATATATATATTTTTTTTTTTTTTTTTTTTTGAGTTGATTTTTTTCCCTCGAAAATTAATCAAAAGCATGGGTAATTAGATGAAACCTATGCATAGTACGAACATAAAACTACCTACGGACATAAAACTCAAAAGTAACAAATTATATAAAAATATTCTTTCACATTTGAATTTTATACCACTCTAAAAAAAGCTGTTTTTTAATATTATAATAATAATAATATACATGTATTTTAATTTTTATTAAATCTTATTATTATTATTATTATATTAAAAAGGAATGTATTTGAAGTTAAAAAAAAAATGAGATGTCAAATATTACTGTTGTTATTTTTTAATATTATAATAATAATATACATGTATTTTAATTTTTATTAAATCTTATTATTATTAATTGTTACTCTAATCCCTTCTACTCTTCCAATTTGGAGTCACCTGTTCGGAGAGGGGTGGGTTTAACAGAGGCGGAAGCGGAGTCGGAATCGACAACTTAGAGAGGGCCACCGCCGGCAGAGAGGATTGTCCAACGCCAAACGACTTTAGCGGCGGCGAAGAAGGAGGGAGAAACTTGCGGCGGATGCGCGAGAAGAATATTGCAACTTCGCAGGCTGAGTTTTTGAAGCGCGGTGGAGAGGTCTATGTCGCCGGATATGATCAAGTAGTTAGCGGGAGCAGTATTGTCTAGTGCCCATATCAACATGTCCACAAGGATGTTCTTGCCCCTATCTTTCACATCTGATAGAGACAATCAAACGGTCAAGCGAAATGAGTCATGTGAGTGAGTGAGTATGTGTGCGCGTGCGTTCACAAGACTTTGTTTGAGCGTGATTACCGGCGGGGATGTTGGAGAGGGCATGTTGGATGGGCCGCGGAATGCGGTTGATGTCGCCGTAGGCAAAGATGGAGACGGCGTAGTTGGAGTTGACGAGAACGGAGGCTATTTTCTGCGAGACAGAGTTAGCATCTTCACCGTTGGGAACGTGACAGCGGTCAATGTCCCATCACACAGAAATTTTGGCCTGCGAGTATGCCGTGGAGGTTGCCCGGGATTGCCAGCCATTCACACGCACCCACCTGAAATTCTTTATTTCTTGCACCCACTGAAATTCTTTATTTCTTGGTCTGAAGAATACAATATGATCATGCACTACTAATTCACCTATATATTTATATATATATATATATATATATATATATATATATATATTGTTTTTTTTTTTAAGTTGATATTTTTCCCTCGAAAATGAATCAAAAGCATGGTAATTAGATGAAACATATGCATAGTACGGACATAAAACTACCTACGGACATAAAACTCAAAAGTAACAAGTTATATAAAAATATTGTTTCACATTTGAATTTTTATACCACTCTAAAAAAACTATTTTTTAATATTATAATAATAATATACATGTATTTTAATTTTTATTAAATCTTATTATTATTATTATTATATTAAAAAGGAGTGTATTTGAAGTTTTTAAAAAAATGAGATGTCAAATATTACTGTTGTTATTTTTTAATATTATAATAATAATAATATATATGTATTTTAATTTTTATTAAATCTTATTATTATTAATTGTTATTCTAATCCCTTCTACTATTCCGATTTGGAGTCAACTGTTCGGAGAGGGGTGGGTTTAACAGAGGCGGAGGCACAGTCGGAATCGGCAACGTAGAGAGGGCCACCGCCGGCGAAGAGGGAGAAACTTGCGGCGGATGCACGAGAAGAATGTTGTAACTTCGCAGGCTGAGTTTGTGAAGCGCGGTGGAGAGGTCTATGTCGCCGGATATGATCAAGTAGTTAGCGGGAGCGGGATTGTCTAATGCCCATATCAACATGTCCACTAGGATGTTCTTGTCCCTATTGTTCAAACTGGCCCAATACTCAGGCCCACTTCTCACTTCTGCTAAAGGGTAATAATACCCACATCTTCGCACACGCACCAAAAACAACACGAGAAAGAGAGAGAAAGTTCTCGAAAGAACACAGTGACCACGAAAACTCCAGCTCACTCTAGGGTTCCACCGTCCACCGTCGCAGGTCCACCAGCTTCACCAGATAAGCTCCTCCTCTCACTTCCTTCTCTCTGTATACTTCACACGTGTATAGACACACACAATTGTAACATCCTGATTCTCAATACTCCTGGTTTGTTAAATTTTGACAAAATCTTTGTCAAACTTTTAATAATTAAATTATTAAGAATTGGGTAAAGAAACTGTAGAGTTTGATGTTTATTAGATTATTTGTGTTTTTCTAGAATTTTTCTAGAATTTTTAGAAAATACGTAAAATTGATCCATTTCGCGGGCAACTGGACGCCTGATAGTAATTATATGATTTAGGGTTGAAATTGAAAGAGTATGGACTTAACAATTTTAATTATCACATTTAGAAATTATTGTTTTCTTGTATGCATTGAGTGTGGGTATATTAAAAGTTTATTATGTGTATAAATAAACAAGAAACATATGATGGTTAATATGGTTTGGAGTGATGTTGGAGTCTTAGGGGTTGTGGGTTCAAATCCTGGCTAGGGTAATAAGGAGAAAATAAAGATAATTTTTTTGTAATATAATGCGCTGAGTGGATTGTGGGCGCATCAGAAATGCGCTGAGCGGATTATTAGGTGAAATATTGACTTTAAAAAGACAGAGTGTCATTATTCTGTAACCTAGTTCCTCATTTCTCTCTTTCTCTCAAACGTTTTATTACCTTCAAGCGTCATTTTGAGGGAGAAATCTTGGTTTTCTTGAGAAGCTCCAATAGGTAAGTTGGTTTATCTCAATCTCCTCTACATTTCTACCATTTTATTTTTCAAAACGGTGCATTTTCTATTTTTCTCCTCACTTGGCTCAACTTGAATGGATGTAGGAAGAAGTTAGTGTAGGTTTTACACCTAGAATACTAGAACGATGCTTAAAATTGAGGATTAGAAGTTGTTAAGCTAAAAACTTTAAGAGCCCTAATTCGTAGGTACTATTCATTGAATTTTTGGGACTTGTGTGAACAGAATTAGGAATTGGTATCTGCATGAAAGTTGTAGCCCTTTAAATTGTCGAAATTTAGAAACTGGTTTTACATTAAACGGATATTGGTAGCTCAAGTTATACCCATTTTACTGTCAAGTGTTCTAGCTGTGACGTTAAGATGTTGCCCTGTTTCAACAGCCTCGATTTTTGAATTACTGGGATTGATACGTATGAAATTAGGACTTGATTCCTTCATAAAAGTTGTAGGAAATTATATCCCCGAAATTTATAAATTTGTTTCATGTCAATAGCTTATGTTTAGCATGAGTTATAGTCAAATTACCAAGACATGTTCAGAGTGTTATTGTAATTGAGCCCAGTTGAAAATAACCACTGAAAACTGAAAACTGCATCTATTCTATAGGGTATTTGAATTTATTTCCTTCATCAATATTGTAGGTGATTAAGTTATTGAAATTTTGGCTCAAATCTCATGCCAAAACAGCTTATATAACTCTAGAAAATTTCGAAATACTGAACCTTGTCCATGGTTGTTATTAAGATTCTTTCTACTCTAAGTGCCTATAAAATAGGATAATTTTCTAAGTTAATTGTAAGCTGAATGTGAGCTTAAAATATTATTAGAAATGGATTAGTAATACAAAGTGAATTTAAATTCTCATGAGATAGAATCATAGAAATATAAGATTCTAACTAACATTTTATTACGTATATAGATTTTGCTGAAACACAACATCAAGCTTTGAAAGGAATAAGTGTGAACGTATCAGGTAAGTGGTGGGCTATATAGTAAGGATTACATCATAAACTTGTTTGACCTTATTTGTTGAATTTGTCTAAATTTGTTATGATTGATAATTTTGATTTCATTATATGCTTGGTTGTGAAAGTAATCATGAATTGCTTACGTGTATGATGATGTAAAATACATGTTTGGTACTCTATTATGTTTGTCTTTGAGTGAACATTTATATGCATGGTAGTTTTTCATGAGAAAATTAAATTGAAAGAATTGGATGGTGGGTTGTGAACCCTTTTTGAATTGTATTGGAAGTTTTCTGTTTGTAACAGGTTATTGGAAATTTTTGGGAAGTCCGTATTACAGGAGAAACCCTGTCAAAATTTTTGGAAAAATGTGAATTTCTAAGAAAAACCACTTAGGGACTCATACACTACTCATTTGAAAATGGTGATTTGTGAAATCTGGGGAATCAGAGATTATGGACTCTGAGAATACGATAGGGAGGCCCTGAGGGAGGACTTGAGGATAGGAAGGGTAGTGGTTGGAGGCCCCAAAAGACCCAGGCTCGCTACCTGTTGTCGGGGATCCCACTGTACAAACTCTCCTGTACCTGACTGTGCTCTTACCGTATATCAATGGTCAGTGAGCTACTGGGTTTATATTTGAGCATGGGTCTCAACAATCCTGTGGGTGGATTTTCCATGCCTAGTAGTGTTAACTCCTGGCTACCCCAGTACTGATTTGAGAAATGATTAGGGCCCGCATGCATAAACATTTTAGAAAACATATTAGGATCATGCATCATTAACATCAATCAGTTGGAATTTGATTGACTTGTGAATGTTTATGATGTTGATTTTAAAATGATGTATGAACTGTTGTTCACCCTCTTGTCTTTCTGTTTTCTTTATTTCTTTTGTGCTTGCGGTACTCGTTGGACCTGATCGGTCATTGTTTGAAGAAAAGGGAGATGGCACAGATTCCACACCCGATGAGTATGATACTCATACTCATTAGCTGGGAGCCACAATGATGACAACATGTATTGGGATAAACATATCTAAAATTTTATAGATAGTCTTTTGTAGTATATAGACCTATATGGTACTGAGTAGTATTCACTGTTTTGTGTAGTTAACTGCTCTGTAGGAAGTATCCCCAATGTTGCCTTAATATTTTGGAGGACTGTACTAATATTTTATTTATATGTAATTATGAATGTTTACTTTTAGTACTTTTTAAAATGATGAAATGCAGGAATGTATTATTGAAAATTTATGTATATTAATATTATGTACAAGGGAAAGATTATTATCGGTTAAAAAAAAATTATGCTAAAAAAATTATTAATTCTTCTGATTGAGGGTTTATAAGGTAGGGTGTTACACACAATAATATGCAGGATAATGTGTTTAATTTGTGTATATATGTGATAACCTGAAAAGTATCGTTGTATATGATTTCTGAGTTATGGGTACTCTTATATAGGAGAATACACCATTAATAGTTGGTTACAAACTAAAACCTGACAGTTAAACCTAAAGCTGGAATTAAATTCTAACATCCCCCTTAATTCCAGTATCAATACTCAAAATCCCTAGTTTTTCTCTGATTATCTTGAACTTCTCCTTCTTCAAAGGTTTGGTTAGGATATCAGCTAGTTGAAGTTGTGTAGGACAGTAAACCAGTCTCAACTTCCCATTGTTAACTTGATCTCGTATGTAATGGAAGCGAGTCTCAATGTGCTTGCTTCTGCCATGTGAAACCGGATTACTTGCAAGGTTTATAGCTGACTTGTTATCAACAAGCAGCTCAATAGGTTGTTCCAATTCAACTCCTATCTCTGTCATCACTAAGTTTAACCATATAGCTTGACAAGCTGCACTTGATCCCGCTATATATTCAGCTTCACATGTAGATAGAGCCACCACAGATTGCTTCTTGCTCCACCAAGAAATTGGTGCTCCCATAAACATAAACACACAACCTGTAGTACTCTTCTATCCACACTATCTCCACACCAGTCTGCATCAGAATAACCAACCAACTTTGTCTGTATTTCTTTAGATTTTGGAAATAATACTCCAAAATCTAATGTTCCCTTTACATATCTCATGACCCTTTTGGCTGCTAGCATATGTTTCTGCTTAGGTTGTTGCATGAATCTACTTAGGATGCCTACTGCAAAGCAGATATCTGGCCTACTGTTGCAGAGGTACCTAAGAGACCCAACCACCTGTTCGTACAGAGTACCATCTACCTCACTTTCTCCATCTTCAGTTACTATAACTTTTCCCTCAGCTGGTGTTACTGCTATGTTGCAGTCTATCATTTCATACTTTGCTAGGATCTCCGCAGCATACTTCCTCTGATGTAGAATCAATCCTCTCTCAGTCTCCACAAACTCCATGCCTAGGAAGTATTTTAGTCTTCCTAAATTAGTCATTTCAAATTATGTCATTAAAAACTTCTTAAATTCTTCTATCTCGTCAATATTGTTTCCTGTAATGAGAAAGTCATCCACATATATACACATTAAGACTAGATTAGTCCCTCTGCCATACTTCACATATACTCCATGTTCCACTGAACATTTCTTAAACTCTTGGCTTAACATAAAAGCATTTATTCTTCTGTTCCAGGCCCTGGGTGCCTGTTTAAGGCCATAGAGGGCCTTCCTCAGCCGATATACCTTATGCTCAACACCTTTCTTCACAAATCCAGGAGGTTGTGTAACATAAACCTCTTCTTCAAGCGGGCCATTTAGGAATGCAGATTTGACATCCATCTGAAATAAAAGCCACTTTCTCCTATTTGCCAAGGCTACTACCATCCTTATTGTCTCAATCCTGGCCACAGGAGCAAATACTTCTGTGTAGTCCAACCCTTTCTTTTGTAAAAATCCTCTCACAACTAGCCTTGCCTTCCTTTTGTTAATACTGCCATTTGGATTCACCTTTAGTTTGAAAACCCATTTCAGATCAATGGGTTTTTTGTTACTGGGTAAGTTAGTCAGTTCCCAGGTGTTTGTCCTCTCAATGGAGTTTAATTCTTCTAACATGACTTTCTTCCATAATTTTTGTTTCATGGCTTCATCATGATCTAATGGTTCAGCTTCTGCCATTAGTGCAAAATGCACCAAGTCTCCCTCACTTGTCACAGCATCATCTGGATATACTTCAAAATCCACCAGAGTTCGTGGTGGTCTTCTCTGCCTCACAACTCTTTGAGACTGGGGTTTTATCGTATTGCTGTATCAACTTCTTCCTCTTCTTCAAAGAACCCTCTAGCTTGCTTGCCTTCCCTTTGTCTTTCATTCCAATCCCAGGATTCTTCTTCACTTACCACAACATCCCTGCTGATACAAATCTGTTTGGAAACAGGATTGTATAACCTATAAGCTCCTGTGGAGTGATAACCCATAAAAATCATAGCCTCACTTTTATCTGCCAGTTTTGTCCTTTTAACATCTGGCACATGTTTGTAGCATTTTGAGCCAAATATCTTCAAATGCTTAACCCTTGGCCTATTACCACACCAAACGTCCTCTGGAACTTTATCTTCCAGCTTTTGTGTAGGACACTTGTTTAGCAAATAGACAGCTGTTGAGACAGCTTCCCCCCATAGTGAATGAGGCAACTGTTTTTGTTTTATCATACTCCTGGCCATGTTAAGTATCATTCTATTCCTTCTTTCTGCCAACCCATTATGTTGTGGAGTATATGGTGCTATGACTTCATGTTGCACACCATTCTCTCTGCAGTAATCTTCAAAGTCATTTGACAAATATTCCTTTCCTCCATCTGTTCTCAAGATCTGAATCATCTTCCCACTTTATTTTTCTGTCATCATTTTAAATTTCTTGAAAACAGAGAACACCTCTGATCTAACTTTGATCAAATACAACCAAATCATTCGGCTGTACTCATCAACAAATGTGACAAAATATTTATTTTGTCCAAGTGATAACTCCTCAAATGGTCCGCATACATCAGAATAAACTACCTGCAATACCTCCTTTGCCCTCATGTGCATATGTGTTTTGAAGGCATTTCTGGGTTGTTTTCCCACCAAACACCCTTCACACACCTTTCCTGGTACAACTAATGTCTCAGGCAGTCCAGTCACCATCCCTTTATCAGCCAACTTCTTCAAACTGGTATAATTTAAGTGCCCATACCTACTATGCCACAACCAACTCACTTCCTCTGCCGTAGTTGTTGTTAAACATTGATTTTCTGTCAAGAAAAGCCTTGTCTGAAATGTCTTGTTCTTTGCCAAAGGAGATTTCAGTACAAGCCTTTTCTTAGCATCATAAACTCTCAACATTTCCTCCTTCATTGATACTGAAAAACCTTTCTGCACCAGCTGTCCTACGCTCAACAGATTGCATTTCATCCCTGGCACATATAACACATCCTCTATCACTATGACTTCTTTGCCATCTTTCTTAATTACCACATTCCCAACTCCTTCAGCCTTTATGACATTGTCATCTGCTAGCTTTATCTTGCTGGTATCTAGCTGGACATCCATTCTTTGTGCCCAGTCATATGGTTGGAACATCCAGTGTCAAGAAACCAAGTTTCAACACCAAATTCTTCTTCACTGGTCGTTACCATAAGCACCACAGGCTCCTCCTCTGAATCATCTTGTGCTACTTTTGCCTCTGCATCAATTGGGCCCCTTTTCTGTCTTCCTTTTCCGTGCCAGCAATCTGCTGCATAATGACCCCATTTCTCACAATTGTAGCACTGAATTTTCCGCATATCAACACTCTTCTTTCCTCCTCTGTCTCTCCAAGACCCATGTCCTCCTTGAGCCTTCTGATATGTTTTCTCTCCAGAATCTTGAGACAAAGAATTTATTTCTTTGTTAAATTTGCCTCCTCCTCTATTCTTCTTCCAGTTTCCTCTGTCAGAACCACAACTTTTCTTGTTGATCTGGGCTTTCAAGGCCTGCTCATCCTCTGCCTTCTCAGATTTTCGCGTTGTGCGCTTCAACTCGTGTGCTTCTAACGTACTCTGTAATTCCTCCAGTGACAGGACCTTCATATTCCTGCCAGACTCTTCTATTGCCACTACTATATTATCAAAATTTTCTGTCAGTGTACGCAGAACCTTTTCTACTGTACTCAATTCAGTCACGGTTTCTCGACAACTTTTAATCTGATTAACGAGCAACTGCAGCCTATTGAAATAGTCTACTACACTTTCGGTTTCCTGCATTGAAAGTAACTCATATTGTCTTCTTAAAGAATGCAACCTGACCTACTTGATTTTTTCTACACCACCATGAGCCCTCCGCAGTATTTCCCAGCATTCTTTTGTTGTCTTGGCCTTGGCTATCTTCTCAAAATTCATAGAATCCACACACTGATGCAACAGACACCGAGCCTTGCAATCTCTCTTCTTGTTTGCGGCTTCGTCCTTCTCCTTTGCACCTTCTGTTACTACTTCTCATAGTTCTTGATAACCAAGAATAGCCTCCATCCTTATGACCCAATTATCATAATTCTTTCCATCAAGAGATGGCAAATTAGAAAAGAAATTCCCACTGCCATTTCCATTTCCTGCCATACTGCAAATGTCCTTAGTTCGTAACCTGCTCTTGATACCACTGTTCAAACTGGCCCAATACTCAGGCCCACTTCTCACTTCTGCTAAAGGGTAATAATACCCACGTCTTCGCACACGCACCAAAAACAACACAAGAAAGAGGGAGAAAGTTCTCGAAAGAACACAGTGACCACGAAAACTCCAACTCACTCTAGGGTTCCACCGTCCACCGTCGCAGCTCCACCAGCTTCACCAGATAAGCTCCTCCTCTCACTTCCTTCTCTCTATATACTTCACACGTGTATAGACACACACAATAATATGCAGGATAATGTGTTTAATTTGTGTATATATGTGATAAACTGAAAAGTATCGTTGTATATGATTTCTGAGTTATGGGTACTCTTATATAGGAGAATACACCATTAATAGTTGGTTACAAACTAAAACCTGACAGTTAAACCTAAAGCTGGAATTAAATTCTAACACCTATCTTTCACATCTGATAGAGACAATCAAACAGTCAAGTGAAAAGAGTCATGTGAGTGAGTGAGTATGTGTGCGCGTGTGTTCACAAGACTATGTTTGAGCGTGATTATCGGCGGGGATGTGGTTGAGAGCGACGCCGGTGCTGGAGAGGGCGTGCTGGATGGGCCGCGGAATGCGGTTGATGTCATCGTAGGCAAAGATGCAGACGGCGCCGACGTAGTTGGAGTTGACGAGAGCCGTTGGGAACGTGACAGCGGTCAATGTCCCATCACATAGAAATTTTGGCCTACGAGTATGTCGTGGAGGTTGCCCCTGGATTGCCATCCATTCACACACACCCACTGAAATTCTTTATTTCTTGCACCCACTGAAATTCTTTATTTCTTGGTCTGAAGAATACAATATGATCATGCACTACTAATTCACCTATATATATATATATATATATATATATATATATATATATATATATATATATATATATATATATTCGAGTGTTGATATTTTTCCCTTGAAAATGAATCAAAAGCATGGGTAATTAGATGAAACCTATACATACTACGGACATAAAAGTACCTACGGACATAAAACTCAAAAGTAACAAGTTATATAAAAATATTCTTTCACATTTGAATTTTATACCACTGTAAAAAAAAACTGTTTTTTAATATTATAATAATAATATACATGTATTTTAATTTTTATTAAATCTTATTATTATTAATTGTTGCTCTAATCCCTTCTACTCTTCCGATTTGGAGTCAAGCTGTTCGGAGAGGGGTGGGTTTAACAGAGGCGGAGGCAGAGTTGGAATCGACAACGTAGAGAGGGCCACCGCCGGCGGAGAGGATTGTCCAACGCCAAACGACTTTGGCGGCGGCGAAGAGGGAGGGAGAAACTTGTGGCGGATGCACGAGGAGAATGTTGTAACTTCGCAGGTTGAGTTTGTGAAGCGCGGTGGAGAGGTTTATGTCGCCGGATATGATCAAGTAGTTAACGGGAGCGGGATTGTCTAGTGCCCATATCAACATGTCCACTAGGATGTTCTTGTCCCTATCTTTCACATCTGATAGAGACAATCAAACGGTCAAGTGAAAAGAGTTATGTGAGTGAGTGAGTATGTATGCGCGTGTTCACAAGACTGTGTTTGAGCGTGATTACCGGCGGGGATGTGGTTGAGAGCGACGCCGGTGCTGGAGAGGGCGTGCTGGATGGGTCGCAGAATGCGGTTGATGTCGCCGTAGGCAAAGATGGAGACGGCGCCGATGCAATTGGAATTGACGAGAGCGGAGGCTATGTTCTGCGAGACGGAGTTAGCGTCTTCACCGTTGGGAACGTGACAGCGGTTAATGCCCCATCACACAGAAATTTTGGCCTGCGAGTATGGCGTGGAGGTTGCCCCTGGATTGCCAGTCATTCACACGCACCCACTGAAATTCTTTATTTCTTGCACCCACTGAAATTCTTTATTTATTGGTCTGAAGAATACAATATGATCATGCACTACTAATTCACCTAATTTATTATATATATATATATATATATATATATATATATATATATATATTTATATATTTGAGTGTTGATATTTTCCCCTCAAAAATGAATCAAAAGCATGGGTAATTAGATGAAACCTATGCATAATACGGATATAAAACTACATTCGGACATAAAACTCAAAAGTACAAGTTATATAAAAATATTCTTTCACATTTGAATTTTATACCACTCTAAAAAAAACTGTTTTTTAATATTATAATAATAATATTCATATATTTTAATTTTTATTAAATCTTATTATTATTATTATTATTATTATTATATTAAAAAGGAGTGTATTTGAAGTTTTTTAAAAGATGAGATGTCAAATATCACTGTCTTAATTTATATAGTCTTTGCCAGGGAAATATTATGATTATCTTAATAAGAGAATTCACTTTTTAACATTATTAGGCTTAGAACTTTAAATATAAAGTAAAGGTATATCCTTTTAATAGTCTTCCTTGTTAGTTTATAAGTTGATATTGAGAAAATAAAATACAAAACACATTAAATACTTGTCTTACAAAAGAAGATGATTAGTAGGAAGGTATTGTCTAATGATTTAGAATTATTTTTAATTTATACATAAAAAAACAAGGAAAGTATAAAACAACTTTGTACGAAGTGATTGTGATTTAAGGAATACCCTAGGTTCATTCTCTGGGCTAGAAAATTGTTTCAATGTAAAAATGGTTTTGGGCCTATTCCTACCTTGCATAATCATTATTCATTACGTGTTGGGGAAAATTCTACTTTCTTTTCAGAATTTGGAGGTAAAACTCCTGTTTCTTCGTAAGGGAAGAGCTCGTTTTATTGACAGTTGAATTCATAAAGAATTACCCTATATGGTTAGGAATTATGGCATTTAATTCAAGCAATGACTGTTGGGACACATTTTTTCTCAGAAAATGAGAGACTTTACTGGTGAGAAAACAGATTGAAATGATTACAATGTAGTTACTTTTTCCAACACAAATTACAATTATTATTGATATAAATGGTTGTTCTTTTATCAGGTAATGAAAAAAAGAGAAATCTAAAAAAAAAATGTAATGTACTATTATTAACTGCTAAGTTTGTGTTTGGTGATATACCTTTTACTATAAAAGCTAATCTGGTGATATAATAAATGGAATCTCCCATAGCATTCTTTTGACATCGTTTAAAAAAAAAATATTTTTAGTGAAACAAGTGTTACATTATTTATTTATTTTCAAATTGTTAGAGTTATGAAACTGAAAAAAAATCAAATTGATGTATTTGAAATAATTATTTAGTAAGATAATGTGGGATCAATTATTGCAGATTTTTTCCTGTTTATTACATTTACCTTTTTTTTTTTCCTCCAAATTCAAACACTGTTCTTTATACCTCATTTACAAAAAGTCACAATAATCTCAATGGGCCTTCAACCTTTCCAACTCTCAGGCTCTATGTTTAGTTTCAGGTCCAGCTATTTACACTCCCCTTTTTGCTAGTATACTTCCCTTTTGTTTTCATTTTAGTTAAAAAAATAAAAATAAAGGAGTACACAGTAGGTGTCATCTGTTTTCTTTCAACTAATTAGGTCTCTAACAAAAAAAAGCTAAATATCAAAATTTTGTCACATAATTTGTATAACTTGTACAAACAAATATATTATTAAGTTATTATACTGGCTTATTTTGCTCAAAATAACTTATTTTTTATATTTTTAAGTATTATGATATAAGCTTAATTCTTACTTCACTTATTTACTTGAAGATTGAGATGATATTTTTATTTATTTATTTATTTAATAAGATTCAAATATCAATATGTAGGTTGTGCAAAAAATTTAATGGTCAATATTTCAGGTAAAAGAGTAAGATTTATATATCACTTAATTAAAAACTTCGATCGAAATATTTTCTTAAATTTAGAATTAGAATAACTTTATTTCTTATAAAAAAAAATAGTTACTCATCGTCTTTATTCTATATTCAATTATAACTAATAAAAAAAATGTTTGATAATGTACAAAGATTATATAACTCTTTTCTTAAACTTTGACTTACCATATAACTCTTTATAATGTATTCTTACGTTATTGTATATTTGAGAATTATTGTATAAGATAATTCCATATTAAAAAAATTATCTTATTATATATTGATAATACATAATAAAAATAAATTAACTGTGTTTGATACTTTTAGATTTTTACTTATTGATATTTCAACTTACTAAGAATTACTTTTTTTAGTAATTTTCATGTTCAAGAGTCCAATTTTTTTTTCGATTCTTACGTTTATGTTATAATTGCATTTTTTTAATTTATTTTTCATCTTAACTATTTGTTAAATTATGTTCAAAATTTAGTCCGTTTCCAAAAAAAAAAGAATAGGTGATTATATATACAAAAATATTTAAATATAAAAAAATGTGATTATTTTTTATTTAATAATATCATTCCAAAAATATTATTCAATTATTTGAGATCCTATTCTTCCATGGCTATTTTTCTTTGTTGACATTGAATTTCAATGAAAATCACTTTAAAAAATAATTAAATAATATTAGTTAACTTTCTTAATTACCACACAAATTAGTTAAATTTACTTAAACAGTTTTTGTAATCTAGGGTGAAAAGTAAGGATGAAAATAATAATAATAATAATAATAAAAAAGTAAAATTATTGTTGTGGTATTTATTTTGTTTAATTATAAGAATGAAATATTAATGGCAGCATTGAAGAGTATATGGTGGGAAAGGTAGGGTCTAATTGCTGTCTCCAGATCCAATATGTGGGATTTCTATACCTATTTTAATAGAACTTCATCTGGTAGTACGTGCTGTAGTACTCATTTTGGCTTCCTCATTGACTATTGTCACAAAGTTTTGCTCACTTCTCACACCCACCATGAATGCACGATATGCTTTCGGGATCTTCAACACTTGCACACTTCTTTCAATGAATGAATGTGCATGTTTTCCATGTTTTCAGACGCACACAGTAAATAATTTTTTTCTTGTTTAAACAATATCATATTACTATTCTAATTAAGTTACCTGGTGAAGTGATAATTATCATGGAATGATGCGTTGAAAAGTTTAAAGGTAGAATGTTATTTTTTCCAATAACTAAATTTCATTAGAGTTAACATATATATATATATATATATATATATATACCTTTGCACCTGACGATTATACATTTGAAATAGGTTTATATCAGAATTAACAGAATAACAACCCGCACCCAGCCCGCTTAATAGAATAACAATCGTCCCCCAACATAAATGTACTCTTTCGCCAAAATACATTTTTCAATTTTATATTATGTTTTTTTTGTCTGTTTACATATGATGTATTTTTTTTCTCTTTTTTTTTTTTGCTTTCTATACGTGACGATACAATAATTCTTTAAAAATAATATCTTTATTTTTTTTCTTCCTCTACATTTCTTTTCTTTATCATGTATAGCAATATCTATGTTCTTAGTGAAAAAAATAATTCAAACGACATGTTACTAACCTTTAGAATTATTTAAGATCGTATCAAAGTACTTTTTTGAAGTGTTTTGTTGTGTACACGTTATTCTTATCATCTTGTTCTTTCTTTATTTTCTTTTATCTTGGTCTTTTTTCTTTTTCATCATGACAGAATTTACTTATAGTCAAATCTCTGCATCAATTTTCTTGTATTTACACCCTAGTGAAAGCCCTGCTACCCCCTTTGGTGTCACTAGTTTTGGATGTCAAAAACTATCACTCATGGTGCATATTCATGATTACAACCTTAAACACTAAAAAAATATTCAATTCATGGATGGTACGATGGCTGAACCTGGCAAGAAGGATTCATCCTATCAAGCTTGGAAGCGATGCACAATGATATGGTGGTTTTATGCCTTGCTAATTTTGTCTTGTCCTCCATTCGACAAAGTACTTTATATGGATGGACAAGACCGAAACAATTTGGAACGATTTAAAATCTAGATATTTCCAAGGTAACTACATGAGAATTTCATATTTACAAATGTAAGCATCTTCTATGAGACAAGGAGAATTGACGATAACAAAATTCTTTACCAAGCTAAGAAATATTTGGGATGAGATTAATAATTTTAGATCTAACCATACATGTTCTTGTGTTGTGAAATGTTCTTGTGGTATGATTGCTTTAATTACTCAAAGAAAAAGTGAGGTTAGTGTGATGCAATTTCTTTTGGGTCTTAATGAACAATACAACAATGTGAAATCTTATGTTCTTTTGTTAGATCTCATTCTTTCCATTAGTATAATTTTTTCCTATGTGACACAACAGGAGTATCAAATTAGAAACAATCTTCATTGTGAAATTGATATAAAAAATAACGCTACTATAATGCCCAATTGAGTTGCAATTATTGTGGTAAACTTGGATATACGTAACTTGTTTGCTACAAGAAAAATGGTTTTCCTCAAAATCATGAAAGCAAGAATTCAAAGAATTTTGTTAAAAGAACTTTGTTAAAAGAACTTACACTACAAGAATTTTACATATTAGCTATGACGCATTCTGTAGCTATTTTATAGTTAATCTCTCGCTGGTATATTTTGCTACAGATTAGCTACGGAATAGCTATAGAATAGTCCGTTGCTAAATCCAAGTAGCTAATTAGATAGAGATATATTCTCTCTCAAATTTGTAGTAAATTTTGTTGTCAATATGTCGTTATAAGTCTCTCGCTAATTTAAGAGATGAAATTTTATTTCTCTCTAGCTAATTTATCTCCCAAAAGTTGTAGCTAATCCATAGCTAATCTTTCGCAATTTTTCTTTTGCTAATCCGTAGCTAATCCCTCGCAATTTCTCTCTCGCTAATCCGTAGTTAATCCCTCGCAATTTTTTTCTCGCTAATCCGTAATTAATCCCTCACAATTTTGCTCTCGTTAATCCGTAGTTAATCTCTCACAATTTTTCTCTCACTAATTTTGGGTTCCATGATTTTGCCAAGGTCCATGTCCGTGATTTTTTAGTGTCACAATCCATGGCCATTGGTTTTTTATTTTTTAAAAGGAAAATTATAATTTGACAACCCAAATTCATACAACTCGTGTAAACAACTCTATTTTAATATTATAATAATAGTTTTATTTTATTTTTATTTTTATTAAATCAGTCTATAGATTATTATATTAATAAAAGTGAGTTGTTTGAAGAGTAGTATGATTTCTGGTTGTCAAAATATCACTACTCTTTTCAAAATCTGATGTTTAACTAACTCTAGCTTTTTATCTGCTTCATGTATAGATTCCTCATATTGGAAAATGTTATTTGAAGTTAATAAAGAGCTTTGATTATCTGCCTGCTCTAAATTGGACAAACTGAGGTGAGAGAACTTTTGAACTTTCTGCATCAAGGAGTTGTCATCCATCAGTTCTGTAATCTGAAATGCTGAATCCACCAGCTGCTTGTTGAAAAATTGTGATATTAGAAGACATCTACGAAGAAGTTCAAGCAAAACTCCTTTTGGCATATGTGCTGCAGCAGAAGGAACTTTACTGAGAATTCCAACAAGCCAAGCAAACAAAGAAGAAAGCCGAAGCTCTGTCCTCGATTGTGAAATTCCCATATTTGGGTTATCTTCCTCACGCTTCATATCTTCCTAACTCTCAATCATATCTAGGACTTCCTTAAGAATATTCAGAAGTAATTCTGGTTCCATATTGCACAATTTGAGTAAGATAAGCTTCCAATCAGCCAAAACGTTCTCTGTGGTTAGACCAATTGAAGCATCATCTGCATTCTCTTCCAACTCTGAGAAACTTAAAGCTTTCAAAAGATACTCCAACAACACAGAAACAATCTCTGAAGAAAATGAGGAATATAACCGAAGAACATATTTCAAGATCTTCGTAATCTGTTTCTTAGATCCTCCAGGTCGTGAGGTTTGACTCTTGCCAACCATAAGAGACAAAAGCTTATTTCGTCCAAAAAGGAATTCAGTATGTTTGACCCAGATGTTTTCCCTTTAGCTGTGACTGGACATTCCCATTGACTTTCAAGGAGACAGCTAATTCACGAATCTTAGACTTAATTTCTTTCTTCACTTTTGTTATTCCTTCACCTTGAAAAGGAATTGCTTTGCTCTGAGGTTCCCAATAATAAGATTTTAACCAATCAAGTGCCTTGACAGAAGCACTACGAACAATCTTAAGTGATGGAAGCTCCCGAGGTTATATCTCATGTCGAATATCAATCAGCATGCGCGGAATACCAATTGCATCAGCTGCAACTGCAATCGATGTGACTTCCTTCTTGCGCGTCTTCTCAACAGCAACATTCACAAGCCTCATGACTGCCATGCAATATAACATAGCAAGCATCTCTTCCGAAAGTGAAGCTTCATTCATTTGATCCTGCCTGAAATAGGAGTCTTGGAGTTGAATTTCAATGATGGAAGCAGTGACTTCGATGAAAATCGGCATCGAACCTCGGCTTCATCATTAACTGAAAACTGCAATAATCTTACAGAAATTTCTCATAAACCTATACTCACTTTTGATGAGCCAAGTATTGAAACGAAGCACCTTCTTAAAGTGCTAACCTGCATATCACCTGAAGCATTGAATGCATCAGTTAGTGAAATTAGAGAGGTAGTCCATTTGAATGATGTGATGGCAACTCCAAAATTCTTAAATAGACCACTAAAGATGCTTCAACAACAAAAACAACCAGGCCTCATTACACAAACTGGGAAAAATTTGGCATCAGATATTAAGCCATCTTCACAAGCTAGATATGTGACTTGCCACAAGCAGTGGCAACGGCACGACAGCAATGCGGAAGCAGGAGCGGCGGCAGCGAGAGCGGCGGCAGCGAGAGCGGCGACAGCGGGAGTAGCGGCAACGAGCGGCAGTGGTAACAAATGTAGTCTAGGTTTTTGAAAGTGAAAGAAGGAGACGTAGGTAAAGGGGAAGGGAATTTTGGAAAAAAGATTAATTTAATATTTTTATTAAAAAATTATAAAATATTTATCATTTTTAAAAAATATTTTTATTATTATATTAAAGATGTTTATATTTAAAATAATATTTAATTAAATAAATATTTTAATATAAGACTAATTTCTAAAAAAATTATTTATAAAATTTTCTATTAATTTAAATTATTAAATACTTCCTAAAAATTTAAATTTATAAAAAATTTACAAAAATTAATTTTAAATATTTATCAATTTTTTTAGATATTTTTTCAAATAATTATAATTATTTTCAAATAATTTATATATATATAATTAATATATTTATAATAAATTTGGTAAAAATAATTTTTAAATAATTTTATAATTATTTTTTTGCTATAAATTTGCTACAATTTAACTATGATTGTATGTTATATAATTTAGCTAAGAAATAGCTTTAAAAAAATAACATAGTTAATATTTATAATAAGGGATTAGTGACAAAATTTTCCCTAACTAAATTATTTTTCTACTAAGGGAGGAAATAACTACAAAAATATTATCTTCTAACTATTTTACTATAGATTAACTACAACTTTATTCATTTATTATTCTATAGTTAATTAGCTACAAATTAGTTAAAAATAAATTTTGTAGCAAATTTTCCTAGCTAATTGAAAAATTTCTTGTGGTTACATTCATTGTGGATGAAATGGGAACACCATATAACTATTTGTTACAAGAAACATGGTTTCTCGCCTATACACAAATTCTACAACAACAATAATTCTATTAAAGCCTCTAAAACCAACAAAGAAGTAAAGCAAGACAATGTTGGTGGAGATCAAGACATGCACTTAACTCACCAATATAATATCAAGCTCTATTGGCTTTGTTGCATTCAAATAATTAAGAAGATGTCACTAAGGACACACAAGTAAATCAAATAAACACTATTACCTCTGATTTGTCTCAGCCAAGTAAACCTTTCATCAATTCTTGCAATATAAAAGAAGATCATATATGGACCCTTGCAATATAAATAGAGAGGGGTTATAAATAATGGTCCTGAGTTTAATATAGAATTTTTTTACAATGATTACGGAATCAGACATCAAACAAGTTGTGTAGAGACGCTGGATAGAATGGAGTGTTGGAAAGGAAACATAAATATCCAATGAATGTTACATGATGCATACTTGGTTAAGCGCATTCTTACTCCCTTTCTAAATAATTTGTCTCATTTTGAAAAGCTATACAATGAAAAATGTAATCTTAGTCATTTTAGAGTTTTCATATGCTTGTGTAATAGTGATACTTTAATGACCAATAGAAACAAGCTTGATCCCCGTGCTACCATTGGAATGTTTTTGTGTTTTAAGTCAATTACCAAAGGGTATATTGTTTTTTTACTAATAACAATCCTAATGATGACAATAACACCCCTGACAGCTTGAATTTTGCTAATGAAAATATTGATCATAATTCTATTAATAATAATGATGATATTGAAACTAACCAACGTACCATTAGAAGAAGAAATCTTCCATCTACGTTTACAAGGTAAAATACAAAGCTAATAGGAGTAATTGACAGACACAAAGCCCGCCTTGCTGTAAAAGGGTGCACATAGATGGAGGGACTGGATTTTCTAGACATTTTCTCCCTTGTTGCAAAGCTTACCTCTATTCCCATTTTGCTTGCTCTAGTTGCTATAAAGAAGTGATATTTAAAGTAGTTAGACGTTAATAACACTTTTTTGCATGGGGATCTAAATAAAGTGGTTTACATGAAGCTTTCACCAAGTCTCGAGACCACAGATCAGAACCAAGTTTGTAAGTTGAACAAATATTTTTATGGGCTTAGACAAGCTAGTCGCCAATGGTACGATAAACTTTCAACTTTTCTTGTCTTTCATGGTTACAAGCAAGTCAATGTTGATCACTCTCCGTTCATTAAGGTAACCGATTCTAACATTACCATCCTTCTAATTTATGTAGATGGTATTGTGTTAATTAAGAATGATATTAATGAAATAGATAATATCACTATTTTTTTATATCAAAAGTTTAAAATAAAAAAATCTTGGAAATTTTAACTTATTTTCTTGGTCTCGAGGTGGCGAGGAGCACAAAGGGCATACAACTCTCTCAACAAAAATACACCTTGGATCTTTCACATGAAATCGGTAGGCTTGCCTCAACCCCTGTCTCAAGACCCACGAATTTCTCAAAATGTATTTCCACAAACAATGAAGACCTCTTACCTAATCCTACATCCTATAGAAGGCTCATTGAAAAGCTGATATACCTTACCAACACTCGGTCAGACATCACTAATGTCGTCCATAATCTCAGCTAGTATGTCGTTGCTCTTACCTTAGCTTATAAACAACCTGCTTTTCGTGTTCTTCGTTATTTGAAACAAGCTCCTGGATAAGGTATTTTTCTTGTTGCAAATAGTGAAGTAAGAATCATAGGGTTTAGTGATTTTGATTGGGCTGGATGACCTGAAATGAGAAAATTCATTATTGGTTACATTCGCTAGTGCAAAATAGGTTTTTTACATTACCTAATTTTCGTCGGATCCAAATATAACTGACTTAAAAAAACGTGGTGATATTTTTCTAGATAAGGGGCGATATTTTTAAATCGAACTTCTTAGAGGTCGACGTAAAAGCTACTTTTTACGTCTAGTGGGTCCCTATCCAACTTAAAAAGTGGCTTTTACGTTAGCCCCTATGAGGTCCGACGTAAAAAATGGCTTTTATGTTGGCTCCTATGAGGTCCGACATAAAAGCCGCGTTTTAATTGTCTAAGAGCTTCTTTTTCCTCTTGCGTGTGAGGGTTTTCAAGTAACAATGACGACAACGACCAAACCAGCTCTCCTCAAGGTACGTTTCGCCCTCAGTCAGTGACAAAAACACTTTAATTGTGTCTCATATGTGATGGTTGATGTTTCTCTTGGATTGAATTCAAGTTTTAAAGCGTTTTTTTATATATTTGAGTTCTATGTTGAAATTTAATGTTTCCATTAATTTGTTATTAAAATTAAACTATTGCAATTTGTGATTATCTGTTTATGCGTTTGAATCCTACGTATTTTTTATTGTTATTGTAGTTTGTATATTACAGTATATAGGAGGTTTAAGGTTTTATGATGAAAAGGAAATGGAAAATGTTTGAAGCAAGATAAGTTTTGAAACGAAGAAAAGAAGGGGTTTGTCCAAATAGATTTTCCAAAATATGCTCCTAAGCACATGTAATAAATAAAAGTTTGTGCGGATATAACGGATTCTTGGATAAAGGTAATTGTTTTCAATATTTATTAAGTTTATTTACCTTTATGTGTATTGCATGTTAACAGAAGTCAAATTAATGTTTCAGGTATGTCAAGATTCATCCATCTCCACTATCAGAACATGATATTACACAAATTAGAAAACAAAAAACAAGATTTTTCGTTCAATATTTTTAGTACTTAGTTTGTAGGTTATTGTTTGTATTGTATTATATAATTTAACATTTAGGTAGCTTAGTTTTTATATTAGTTTAGACTTTGTATTAGTTTAATTTTATAATGTTTACCTTTTAAGTAGTTTAATCTTTGTATTACATTGTATTGTTGTATTTTTATATTTTTGAATTATTGTCTATTGAAATATAGACTCGCTCGTTGTAAGTAAGACAAAAAAAGACAAAATTTATGTCGATTGTACCCTAAGTTTGACGTAAATTTACGTTAATTATGTCCCTAGTCCGATGTAAATTTACGTCGGTGATTATGTCCAATGTAATATGTCAGTGATCATGTCCGACGTAAATTTACATCGATGATCATATCCAACGTAAATTTACATCGATGATCATATCCAACGTAAATTTACATCTTCTGTATTAATGTCAAACTTGTTTTTAACATAAAAATACTAAAATAACATACGCAAAAGTCTCATTTTCTATTAGTGATTATATATCTTGGACATTCACCTAAGATTGTGTATGAGGCTATTTTCTTTTTGGTCTGTTGACGTTCTAGAACTCTTGTGGTGTTCTTGGACTCTCATGATTCGCTCAGTGTCGTTATTCAGTAAATTATTTTTTTATCTTTCATTTAACTTCTTTTCGATGTATATGGGTTGAAGTAGCACTTGTATTTCCATTAATTTTATTCTTTAATACTGATAAAAAAAAAACATACACAAAAATTTCATTTTCTATTAATAATTATATATCTTGGACATTCACGATATAAGACATTGACGTCCACCACTTGTGAACTACAATATATTCTTTATCTTCTTCAGGACCTCATAATTCAACATCCCCAATTAGCTCTTTTGTTATGCAATAATCAATTTACCCTATAAATAGCATCCAATCATGTTTTTCACGAACTTACTATATAGAAATTGATTGTGACATAATAAGAAAAAAACTTCGACGCAGATCATCAAGTGTCTCCCTATATTAGTTCCAAGGACCAACGTGTTCACATTCTTACCAAGCTTTACTCCTTCAAATTTTCAGGGCCTTCCCAAGCTTAGAATGTTGAACATACACTCCAAGCTTGAGGGGTCTATTAGAATAAACAGAATAACAACCAGTACCCAGCACAATTGCACTCCTCCACCTAAGCGCATTTTTCAAATTTTTTTTTTTTGTTTTTCTGATCACATGTGTGATATATTTTTCTCTCTTCTCATACTTTTCGTGCACGACGATACAGTAACTCCAGAAATAATATCTTTGTTTTTCTTTCGTTCTGTTTTTTATTTTTTTTTTGGTTCCACGTTTCTTTTCTTCTTCGTAACAATGCCTGGGTTCTTAGTGAAAGAAGTGATTCAACTTCACCAACCTAGAGTCATGTAAGAGTTTATATTTTTCATATAGTACAATACAGTCTTATTCTCAAATTAGCACTTATAATGCGAAAGAATATTTAAATACTGTGAGTGCAATGGTTTTCAAGATCCTCCTTCTCTTTCGTTTGTGATACTACACTTGGACAAATAATTAAATTTATAGGAGTTGATAGATTGAATTGATATTAAGTGCGTGTTAAGAAATAAATTATTTTTCAGAGAACCAAAGAATTTCTTTATCAAATAAATTATATCCCGAACAGTTAATTATTTAGAGTTGAAAAGCTTCCACCGACTTCAACCCGTGCATGGTATCACAAAGATCAACATATGCATGCTCTGCAAGTCCAAGGTGAGGTTCAAACGATTTGTTTATAGAGTCATGCATTCAGAACGAAAGGTGACTCTTAATCTCTTTTTTCTGTATATACATATACTCTATTTCAATCGCAAGGAAGTTTTATTTCGTTTTTGTAATTTGTTTTCTTTTTTCTAGAAAATACTTTTAGAAAATTTAGAGACTAGGAAGCTAGTTGATGGAGAAAGTAGTGCATGACTGAGGAAGCTGCGGAGACCCAGGAATAGCACCAGCGGTTCCATTGTTGTTACCATCACTTCCTCTCGATACACCAATGATCGAGGAGATTGCTGCTGCCAAAGCTGCAGTGAAGTTCGGATCCGAAGCAATGGCTGCACTGACCGTTTCGACCATAGACGAAGGTTGTCGTGGATGAAGTAGGGGCAATGTCGCAGGTGGAAGCTTCTGTGAGAAAAACAAGGGGTGATCTAGAAGGTGGGAACCATAGGAAGCATGCAGTGGGAGAGGGAACGTAGTGGCATGGGGTGGTACGCGGTGGAGCTGCATGGAGTTGTGGTTTTGGGTCAAGTCGAGAGTAATGGTTGGGAATGGTGCTGAAGCTGATAGGGTTGCCATTGAAGCATAGGGAAGTGAAGAGTAATATCCTGCAGAGTTTGTGAGAGCTTCCTTGCTGGGTGTCGAACCTGACAGGAGCATGGCGGCGGCTGCTGACGTGGTACTTGCCATTGCAGTGGCAGCTGGTGGCAGAGGGTGGTTGTGATTGCCTTCGTAGGTTGTTATCAACACTGTCTTATCTTCTACGCATCTCTGCACCTGTCCAATTTATACATATATATACCATAAATATTTTCAACAATATCCACACAACTATACCATGGAATAACATCTGAGATGAAAACAAAGATCAAGAAAACTAAAGGCAATATATATATATATATATATATATATATATATATATATATATATATATATATATATATATATATATATATATATATATAAATCAGAATAAAGTGTAGTGAATTACTTGTTTGCGGACTGGGCATCCTCCAGCCATAGTGCAGCGATAGTAAGCACGAGGGCAAGGGTTACCCTTCGCCATTTTTTGTCCATATTTCCTCCACTGACAACCATCGCTGATCTGAAAACGCCCCTCATACAACATTAATTCATCGTTCAAAAATATGGTCTATAACAACTATGTGTGAATATATCATTACCCAACAAATCATTTCTACATTTTGTAATCCATTTGCTACCTCGGGTGTTAAAGTAGTTAGATTAAGAAAATTATGTTGTACTATTCAAATATAAAAAACGAAAGTATAAATCTAAATTTAATCAAGTGAAATATAAACAAATTTCAACTTTATATTCAATGTGATTATTTAAAAAATATTTTTAAACTCAAATATGAATATCATTGTCAATACATATAATTAATTTAGGAATAGTTTAGAAAGTGTAGTTTTTTTGTATATAAAATAAAATAAATTTGAATTTAATCTTCCTCAACTAATGTAAAATTAAGTATTTTAACTATCTTTCTTAACTAATGTAAAAATGCATTTGAACTATCTTTCATTTCAATATGTTTAATATCTTAAAATTATTAATGAGAATTTTAAAATATCATTATTTAGTAAACAAAAAATTTATATAAAAAACTATATAATATGTGCTAATTAATATTCTACAAAAAATAATGTTGTTCATACTACTATATAAGGTAAATTTATTCCTTTCTGTAATCAATATCTTACAAATTATATTAATGATTACACGTTTTTTAAAAGAGTATATTTCGTATAAGAACACAATTTGTATTTTTGTTCTTAATTTTTTTTAATGTGTCCTTTGTTGTCACATGGTTTAAGAATACAAATTACTTTTCCCTCCAATAACAAAATATACAACTTAACTTTTTTAGTTTTAGTATACCTCATTTTTTATCTTTTATCTGCTAAAAATCCTCATTTTTTAGTATTATTCTTAGGGCTTAGAAAGATAAATGCAATTGTCCTTGAAAAAATGAACAGAAATTGATCCTTAAAAAAATTAACTAAAATCAATTACGCAAAAAGTTGCTAAACTAGTTACCAGTGGAGCTTCTGATCTAGCTCGTACGGAAACCCTGGCTTTTCTGAGAGGAATCTGATCTGCAACAACTTGTTCTGCAGTTTTGGGTTGTTCCTCTAACTTGGATGAGCCCCAGCTCTGTGAGGAGGACCGGTCAAGAACATCTTCTGCAGCATTAGGACAAGCCTGTTTTCCATGGTTCAGTTTAACCAATTGAGGAGCCTCATCATCTGTCTTTGACAATACCTCCGCGTTGTTTGAGCGACAAACCGATACCTCACCATCAGTCTTTTCATCACAAACCGATGCATCATTCACCACCTCTAACTTTCTGCATGCTCCAGCAGGGTCCACATTTTTTTGATCCGACACCATCCCATTTGCTTCTGGATTCTGTTTCCACACTTATTACTTCAGTACTATGGAGTTTGATGATAGATTTTCACTGTCTCTACAAGTACATGCGTGTGTATGAATTTTGACAGTTATGCATAAGTACTTTTGATTTTAACTGTCGGTGCAAGTACGTGTATCACGTGTGTGTGCATAGTGAGTATGTGAATTTCTGCAGTTATCTCTGGAGTGCATTATCTGCAGCTAGATAAGACTTTTCTTTCATATGCGAGGGTCAAGTCAATTTTATCTGAAAGTACTTGTTGGTATTAATTGTCGCTTAGTTGAAATGGGTATTTCATAGTCTGAAGTCTGAACAGTGAAGGTGCTTTCAAAGGGGAAAAGATAACGAGATTTGTTAAGGGTTATTTTCATGACATTAATTAAATACAAATAGAATATTTCAGCAAAAATAAATTAATAAGAAAAAAGATAAATGTTTAACATATTTAGAATAATTAAATATAATATATACTTTGTAGCTGTTTGGAAAAACCCAGATAGTAATGAAACTGATATATCATAACTTTGATTGAACGAATGTATATTTTTATATATATGATTAATAGAAAGAGTTTGAAAAACGCAGTGAATGAAAATAACACGCTTTTCTAATTTAAGTGAAGCACGCTACCCTGTTTCTTCACTGACGAAAGAACAGAGAAAAAGATTGCACACAGAGACACACCGAACAAACCATTCGTTATGGTCGGATAAATAAAAAGAAACTAAAATTTAATCATCAGGCAAGACGAAAAAAAGAAACTGATGCAAGATGAGAATACTCTTTAATTTATATTTTGCTTGTGACGATGAAAAAAATGAATGACTTTAAGGTAGAAAATTAAACGTCGAAAATATATATATAATAAATCGACCTGAGGAAGCTTTTTTTTCTGCAGAGTGATGAATAGCTGAGCTTGTAGTTGGGTATAACTTCTGGTAATCTCGTCCAGCACGGTCCTCAACTTGCGATTCTCCTCTTGTAGTTTCCGCAATTGACTTTGAAGAGAACTCAGCTGAGAAAAAAACAAATATTTCAAAATAAAAAAGCAATAAAAATCCAACACATATAAATATATAATCACACAACTTGATTCATGGTATCCATCCCTATGGGTATTATACAAACCTCAGCTTCAGAATTTTCACCATTTTCTTCTTTTCTCACTCCAGCACTTGCACAAGTTAAATTTAGTCCGGTCTGCATATGTATATAGATAGATAGAAACAAACATAAAAAATTGATGGAAAAGTCATTTGCATTTAAGTACATACAGTGATGCAGAATTTAACAAATACATATTGGAAAGCTCACGTTTACACAATGATCAGTGTGGTCATGTGTTGGTGATCCTTGGCGATGAGTGTGATCTTGATGTCCATGATGCTTGTGACTATCACGGTTCATATGATTGTTATTGTTGTTTTTATGAGTACCCGGGGATGAAGCTGATGAGAAGAAGTCCATTTCTTTGATGGGAAGATCGGTGTTGCGGATTGTGTGATCTAAAGGGCGGTTGAGGAAGTCGCCGGAGCTTAAGAAGGTCAATTCACGGTGGTGTCGGTTCTCCATGTATTTAGTGAAATGGAGAGAGAGAGAGAGAGAGAGAGAGAGAGAGAGAGAGAGAGAGAGAAAGATAGTCGAAATTACAAGTGGTTGTCTGCGTTGAGGAAGAAAGAAAGAAAATGGGTTTAAATGTGGTAATGCACCCCCTCCCTCCCTCCTTGGACCTTGAGGTAGGGGTCCTACAATAAATTTAATATGGAAAAAAGGTAATGTTGTAATGTAAGTAAGAGGTCCACCAAAAAGGTTCAAGAGGATTCACAACTCAGGAGGGACCAGCCGTTTATTCGCCATAATTGACGTCACCATTAATTAACCCTCCTAGGGTAGGGGTTAACTTATTCGCTAGGGTTTTCATTCACCAACATTTTCTTTTTCTCTTCCGCTTTTAACTTTACAACTAGGGTTATAATTTGGAGAGAATACAGGATTCAAACATTTTACTTTTATATATTCTAAAGCTCATTTTTTTCTGACTTGTCCACTTTTAATTTGAACATAGGAGAATTGATAACAAATATGGTAAATCAGTTAGCGAATTTTATATATCAAAATTAATTTATGTTTATTATTATTCAAAACAAATGTATTGTTAAAAGTTATGTTTGAAGGTAAAAACGGTGGTGTGGTGTTAATACCAAAATATAAAAAGAAAAAATGGAAAAGAAAAGAGATATTTTATACGGATTTGAGAACGGCGTTAAGCATAACGGCGGTTAGGGATGAGATGAGAGAATGGATCCACGTGGGGTAGTCCCAAAAGGTCAACCCAGTTGACGGCACGCCTCTCTCTATCGGACGGTAGTTGGAATGAGTGGGACCCACATGATTGGAAAACCTAATCCCACTGACTTTGAAGGCAACCACGACGTCATTGGGATCAACCGTCCATCTCGATCGAGGATCATTGAAGACCCAACCTTGTATTCCTTCCTCATTTTTTAGGACAACCTTCCATTTCCTTTTTATTTCTTTATGCATTTTTATTTATGATTCAATTTTATATCTATCATATGTATAATAAAGGTTTATATTAAAAGGTTCACGCAGAGTTGAAACTTTATTTTTACTACAACAACATGAACAAGGTGTAAATTATTACATCATTCTTCCATCAAAAGTAGTTCCTTTGAATGAAAGTCACAAAACTTCAAAATAAAACTGTTGTTAGTAACATATGAAATGAGAAAAAATATATTTTAGTGACATGTATTTTCATAAAAAAAATGCAGAAATAACAAATATACTTTTATTGGTAAAAAAAAAATCTTCAAAGGATGCTATTAGATTTGTCAATGAAAATTAAAAATGGTAGAAAAAGCATATGGTGTATTTTTCAATTATATTTTTCTTCGAATGGAAAGAATTTATATTTTAATGTAAGAGAGTAGAACAATTAATACTTAAATAAATGATAGTGTAAAAGATAATTTCAAAATTATTTTTCTAGGGTTTGAAAGTAACGCAATTAGAAATAAATAAATAAATAAAGTGTCATATACTTCAATTTGTAAAAAAAGTAGTATATATATTAACATAAATGAAAAAAATTGTCTAATTCTCATGAGCGAAGTATATTTTTCCTTTTATAAATAAGCTAGTTTAAATTTGGATAAAATTTATATCATTTTTCTCATATTATTGTATTACCTACTTAAATTAAACAATGATACACAAATTTTTTAATATTAATAGTATTAATTATAAGATATTAAGTTAACAAAACAGTTATATATAACTAAAAAATAGTTTATATATACCATGTATAAAATTTTTTATAATATCATTTAATTATATATATATAGTAAATTTTTTTACTTAAAAAATAAAAACGTTAAAACTTGCTCTTACCATGATTGATTTACAGTATTATTATTTTTATTACAATAAATAATATATATTCTTACTACCTATACGATCATATTATATACTATTGACATATTATAGGTGATTAGAAAATATTTATGTTTATATAATTCAATTATATATCCTTAAATTAAAATCAATATGTACTCCTATATTATTAATTATTATTTTGTTAGAGATTAAAAACTATTAAAATCTATAGACACCTTGTCCCATGTAATAAAGAAAAATAAAATAGAACAAGTGATTTTTATTCCTTCTCTCGTTTGAAGTTACATTACACACTATTCATTCAGTTAATGCAAAAAAATATTTTTTATTTCTCTTTCAAATATATAGATTTGAAAATAAATTTCAATAGTTTGTTTTTAAAACAATTAATTAATAGTCAACATATAGTCTTACATGGAAAAATATTTATTTTGAATGAAATGAAGTTATAACACAATTTATATGAAAATATTTATACTATAAATTTAATGTTTGTGAAAATATTACAATAAGAAAAATCTGAATGGTTATTTATTTCATTGAATATAAGAAATTAATGTTTTGTTTAATTGATACAGATGTTGAAAAGAGAGGGAAAAAGCAGCGCATGGGTGGTACTGGACGAGGATGAAATAATATAAAAAAATAATAATGAGTTAAATTGGTCAATGACTTAATGGTTCTGGAATCTGGATGTGGCCTTGATTTGATATGAATATCCTTCGGTTTTCTTTGGACTTTCTTCTCCTCGTGGAGTAGCAAATAATGATATACAAAAACCAAGTATATGTTGAACGATGGCAGAGAATATGACCAATATATTGTCCTTACCCTACATAATAAGAAATTAAGGCCGTAGTTCTCTTTCCATGTGAATAAGATGTGTGCAAGCTTTATGAATATCTTCAAGTCAATGCCAAGTTACACAAATTTCTTTTAAATTCCTCTTTCTTTGTAGATAACTTTGAAAAAGTTGCCTCTTCATAGACTACAAATTTACAACTGATTATATCATCGATCACGTCGTGCTTCCCAACTTGCAGTTTCATTTATTTTCTATGAATATGCATTTACCTCCTCTATCAATAAATGATTTTAATTTAATTTAAAATCAATTATAATTAAAGAAAATTATGATATAATTACTGAATCTCAGAGTTTATTATTTAAAAGTAAATATTAAAGAAAAATAAAAAATTATAAAAATAAGAATTAAACTTGTTAAATAAGAAAATGAAAAAATATATAATATTTAACTAAAATTGATGCTGAAAGTAACAGTAATGCTACCTTCATAACAAACAATATTGGCGTTCACATATTCGACCTTAGTAATGGTTTCTATGAATGTCTTTTTATTTAATTTTTTTTATATTTATGTAACATGAGCTTCTGTCTTTCAATAAGTGTTTCGAATTCGATCTTCTTGTTTTCTAAAGGCTCTTATCAAAATTAAGAGTTTTTTTTTTTACTAAATTAGGCGTAATATCTTAATATTTTGTGACTTCTATTAAATTTAATTAATAGAATATACTGAAAGAGTGTTTTCACAACTCTTGTTTTATGGAAAAGAAAAAAAAGGTTAAGGAGTGCAGTTGGCTACGGCGACTGTGAGAACAACAGAGAAGGCCAAGTCAAAGTAAACAAACGCGACACTTCGATGCGTGACCGATGCAGAACATCACTGAAATACACTAATAAAGAGTGTTAATTTTCTTTATCAGTTTATAACTAATAAGTAACTCTAATTATAAGTTCTTAATTAATTTTTATTATTTACAATTATTTTTTAATAAATTTTACAATTTATCTCTCGGTTATTTTAATTAGTATACTCTTTATGTTTTTTTTTATAAAATAATATAATCATTTAAAAAGTTTTTAACTAATAAAAGCTATAATTATAATTCCCTAAATACAACTTTTGTCAATAAAATAAAAAAATTTTACCCTTCGAAACAGGACGAAGGTCTCATCTTCACAGTCAATTCAAGTTCTATGACAAGATATTCCCAAACAAAAAATAAAGAGCCTTTGTTTCATGAATATTTTTGTATTATTATAGTATACGTTTAAATAGGAGAGAAAAATTAAAAAAAAAATCTGAATATATTAAGAATTTTCCATGTTAAGAGGATAGTAATAAAAGATGAAACAACAAATATCCATAATATCTCAACCCTATTGAAACTTTGCCCACACGTTCAACATAGAAGAATATAAGTCCAACCTAAACTTCACGTATTCCTTCCTTCTCAATTCAATGCTCCCATTATTATAACCATAACAATAATAATACACTAATACACTCCTCCTAATCTCTTTGTGTAATTGCCTTTTCTTTTCCTTCAACGTTCATAATTTTGCTCCTCTAAATTAATAAATAATCTGGCATCCCAAAACAAATATTTTACTCACAAGGGTTCATTTGACTTTTCTAGGGGTTTTATCTAGGTACGTATAAATTGACAGAATTATTTAAAAAAATTATATCTATTTGAAAATTATATATTTGACGAATTAAATTTATTATATACTAAATAGTTTATTATCATTTATCTCATTTCTAAATATAAAACTTGATGGCAGCATACCCATGGCGTGGACGAGAGAAAAAAAGAAAAGAAAAGAAAACTAATTGAAAACGATATTTTCAACTGTACAACTTTTACGTTTGTTTTATGACTACTATAATATTGTTCTAGGGTTCTTGTGTTCTCCACTCCATGCTATTATGTTTGATTACGAGGATGTGTCGTCAAGTGTGCGCAAGGCAGCAAAGGTTTTAGGATGATCAAGTGCCAAAAAATTGACTTATTAATTTAAACATCTAAATATGATCCTCATTTAATGCACCATGGATATTTTTCTAAGTCATAAAAAAGCGACAAGGAGATGCTTTTTAGTGTCCTTAAAATATATGTTAAATGAATCGGTTTGTGGCCATCTTTTCTATCTTGTATGGTTCTACATAGCAAATAGGGTGGCGATTTGAACCTAAAAGTCAGGGTTCAGGTTGGACCAAGTTATCATCCATAAGGAGTTTGGAAAAAGGTAGCTACTCATTCCACCTTTGTAGACCATTTTGTTTTCTTCAAATGTGACATTTTCTTCTTTCTTTTGAATACACCATTGTCCTCTTCCTTTATGGTAACCATGGAAGATACTTCCCTTCACTTGGAATGTGATTATATGGAACCACCACATTCAAATGAAGTAACGTCTTTTCTTTGAATGTTAAATGGTGTTGAAGATTCTGTCATTTGTTGGAATTAAGTCTGCGATGATAAATGATACCAATAATAAATAGGATCTTGGTTTTCAGTTTAACCAACAACTTTTCTGTGTTGGATGTGGGCCTCACGACCCATAAATTGGGCTTAATGTGGGAGGGGGAAAAGGCCATCTAATTTAACACTGGCCCAATTAGTTCCTCTATTGATGAGGATAGGTTAGACTGATACTTTTTTGCTTTTGTTTTTTTTTTCTTTTCTTAATTATTATTATTTGAAGGATTGTTAGAAAGATGGTTACTTGCTAGGCATTTTGATATTCATAGACATGTTTTTGTACTTGAGTTCTAATATGATAAAATTCATTAATTTTATTTGCTTTTTAACCTTTTAAACTAACTGTCAAATTGTTAATTCCACGTATTTCTATGTTTTACTTTGTGGTAATTCATTTAATCATTTTCCAACTTGATCTTAAATTGAATTTCAACACGATTAATTCTAAAAATTATTTTGACAATGACAATTATTACAAGCACTATATATTACATGCATTTAAAAGAGTGTGTTTTAAATAAATTATTACTTTTAATACATAATAGTTTAGGACTTTCATAATATCCATATATTTGCAAGGATTACTAAATCTTAAACTTGTTTCAGATTGATATTATCCATATCCATCTATCTAGTTTGTTTACCAACATAAAACCTATTAAATTTAGATATAATATATTTTCTTAAGTTATTTGAAGAATATGAATCCTCTCTTTCGAATCAGGAAAGAAATTCTCTTTTAGATTATTAAGATTAAAAAACTCAAAAGGTTTACAATTTTTTTCAAATGAAATAAATAAATTGATTTAATTTGTATAAAAGCAAAATACTAGTTTAAAAGTATAAAATAATTAAATTTCAACATATTATTATCACTTTCATAAAAAGTTTAATGCATATATTATACTATTTTTTATGAAATATAATATTGGTATTCTTTTTAATATAATTTTTAATAAAAACAAATGGAAAATAATTTTTTTTATAACTTTCAATAATAAAACTTTTTTAAACTACTATTATAGAAAACAAATTTATTAACGAATAAAATCCGTTAGATATTATAAAAATTTAGGATAAATAAGAATTATTAAAGATAAAATTATCGATAATTATGTTATAGGTAAAATATATTAATAAATTTATCTTTATAAATAATTATTGAAATATATATCCATTAATAATTATTGATATTGATAATTACTAGTGTTATTTAGTGTATTATTTAAAGTATAATATTTGTCGATAATATTATTTCTATTTTCTAGTGTTCCTCTGTCACGCATAATCCTATGTCTACATCTACCATTTAACAGGTGAATTCAACAATTCAATTTAAATGTAATCAAAATTATTTACAATCAAACGTAATATCAAAAGTATGATAACGTAATATCTAAGTATGATAATAAAATACAATAGGTAGTTCTATAGTTCTTAAAAAATTGTTTATTGTTTATACAAATATGTAATAGTAGGAATAGTAAGAATATACCTATATTTTTAAAGAATTAGTTTAAACTTGTCCGTTGATTGGAGAAGCATCTTATTTTAATTCTTTGAACCTGTAAACAAAAAAAAGAGACAAATTTAGGATGTTATACCACATATTAGAATATACATTGAGGAACTTGTGTTTTTTTAAACATAATAAACATTATAAAAGAATCAAGAAAGTAAATATAGGTGCTAATAGTACAATTCAGAAACTAATTTCCATAATAAACTTAAATGATAATTCTTTTTGTAAATTATTTTATGGATGTTATTATTTTCTATACTTTTTGGAAACCATTTATCATAATATATTTATTTTTAATACATTGGAAAAACTAATTTATAGAATACTAAAACTTTTTATTATTCTTATACAAGGCATGTTGTATAAAAAAAATATATTAAAGTCGATGGTTTTAAGAGAAAAAGAAGAGTTTACAAATGAAAACATATAAGTGCATGTATAAACACTATAAGGTCACCACATTAAAAAAGGAATTTAGTTAACTAGAAGACAAGTAGCAAATATAATATTTTTAAGAATTTATACATACTTATAACAACAATCAATACTACCAACATGTAAAAGTCTTAACAAAATCAAAAAATAACAACAATCAATACTACCAATAACATAAAACTTTGCTCCACATCTTCCAACCAAAGCGTTTAAAATAATCATATAACAAGTATTAATGAAAAACACATCCAATTGCATCACAAAAGTCCAGAAGGGAATTTCTAAAGTTTCAATGCCTCTAAAAAATAAAGGATGATTTGACTTTAAACATCAGGAAACACACATAGACTGCATGGGAAATTCAAAATAGTTACATAAGGCCTATGAATATATAAAATCACTTGTATCCTATTACGCATCTTAGACCAAACAAAAAGTAAGTTCCTTAATAGGAGCAAACCCTAACAAATAGCTTAGGTATATTAAAGTTTCAATCAATTGTGTCATAATGAAGAATCTAACTTCGAATTTTCATACGGACGAATTTCATTTTCACCGCCTCATCATATAGGTGACTTCAACGATAGTTCCCGTTATTGCATCCAGTTCAAGTTTCCCTGTTCAAATATGTGGCAATTTCATAAATCAATCCAGAGAACTTTTTTATAGGGAATTTAAATGCCAAATAATCAAAACTCAATATTCAAAACTCATAAAAAGTAATGGCAAGTAACTCTTCAAATTAAGTCCCACTCTATTGCTCAATCTCACTCCTTGAACACTTATCAGCATCCATGCTAAGTGGCCTCACATCACTACTCTAACGCGTCAAGCCATTCCCTTCCTTGAAGGATTCTGCATCAATAGCATTGTGTCGTCACTGGAAACCTCTGTCATCACCAATATAGTCACGAACATGAAAATAAAAATCCTCTCTCTCACTCACATTCAAATGTTCAAACACCAAATGCTCAATCGCACGCACACAAAATGAAACACATATTACACACCACTGCGGGATTTAAGACGTTCTAAGACATGGACAAAAGACAAAAAAAATGCACATAATGTAAAGGCAAAGGCAAAGAACACATATAAACCTAGAAAATTGTGAAGAAAAAGGTAAGACAAACCCAGACATAAGCGAGGATTATTCCGTGGGAGAGGTAGGCGGTCTATTAGGATTCGCTTGATAGATTTGGGATTTTCTCCTTGCGCAAGCTGCTTTCGTCGGAGGCACACATCCTCGTGGTCTTACGTTGAGGAAAATATGCGTGACGATAGTGAGTGGTCGGAGATCGGGGAAAGGGATTGACGCATGGGAGATGTGGCTACATGGATGAATGCATTTTTGAAAGAGTCAGGGTTTTTAATTGAACTAAGGGCAAACACATTAGAATTAGGATTTGAACGGTTAGAAGTGGTATATAAATGTCCATTTAAATCAATGTCATCTAAATTTAAATTAATACTAATATTAAAATTTTTGAAATAAAATATAACAATATGCATAAAGAAAATATTAATCAAATAAATTATTAAATATTACTTTATAATTTAAAATATTAATATTAACATAACTTCAAAAATTAGTATTAATATTTATAATTATTAAAACTAATATAATGAAATTTGTAATAATTTTAAAAAATTTGTAAAAATATATTTTTAAGAAATTAATGTCAATTTTGATTTAACTATTCATTAAAGATATCAAAGTAAATTTATATTATTTTAAAAGTAATCATAATGAAAAATTAAAGAAATTAATTGTAATTTAATTATTTGTTAAGGATATAAAAGAAAATGTATACTATGTTAAAAGTAATCAGTATTAGTAATAAAAAATTAAAGAAAATTAATTGTGATTTTCTTTTAAGGATATTAATGGAAATTTATACTATTGTAAAAATAATCTAAATGAAAAATAAAGAAAATTAGTTATAATTTAATTATTTAGTAAGGATATAAAAGGAAATTTATACTATTTTAAAAATAATCAGTCTTAGTAATAAAAAATTAAAGAAAAATAATTGTGATTTGATTCTTTGTTAAAGATATAAAAGAAAATTTATATTATTTTAAAATTAATAAATATTAAAAACATTTTAATGATCAAATATTTTAAAAAATTAATTTAGTTTATGTCTTTATAAATTAAATTAAAATAAATTTTGGCATTTTGAAAATGATTAATATTTATAATATTTTAATTAAAAATATAAAAATTAGTGGTATATATATATAATTTTTATATTAATTTTTATTATAAATATGAAAAAAAATATTGATGTATTATATTAATATTTTTATTTAATTTATTTGATTTATATTATTTAAAAAAAGCATTATTGATGAATTTTTTTTAAATCTTCGTACTTTTGAAGGATGTTTCAACATAATATGTTGATAACATATAAAATATTATAATATTATCCACGAAAAAATTTATCAGTTGATAATAAATAAAGTTAATTAATTAATTAATAACTTTAAAATATTAATTAGTAATAGAATTATTTATTATTGAACTTTTATTAATATTAACAATGGTTTCATTCTTATATAGAGAAACTCAAACGACATGTTTTCATAAGTTTTCAGCAAAATCTCCTAACACTTTTTAACTATTGTAGTTTTGAAAATTTTGTTGAAGATTTTTGTCCAAGAGTAATGGAAAATCTCGTCTTATTGTCCAATTTTTGAAGATTTTTTGTGTGTTTCTTGGTTTCTTTTGTAGTTTATCTTTAGGGTTTTCAAGTTCACTCATCACCACATCAGCTATATCTTGAAACTAAAAAATAACTAATATCTTTATCTTCCAATCATCAAAGTCTTTTCTATCTAACATCGGTAGTGCACCTTAAATGATACTTTCGTTCTCATTCTTAATCATCTTGAATCTGTAAATCAAGAGTTTTATTAATTTTGATACCTTCAACTCTATTATTCACCATTAAGGAGAATAGTCACATATTTCACATATGAGACTCATCGAAAAACTAACAATAAAAAGCATAAAGTTTCACTTTATTCATAAGATAAACATTGTTCTTAATATTATGTTAATTCCAATATTACAATATATTGGTTTATTATAAAAAAAATAGAAAGAGAAAAATAACTCAAAAATAATAATAATATTAATATATGTAATACCTTTAACAATTATATATTTTTATAATTATATATATATATATATATATATATATATGAAAAGTTAAAAAAATGGAATTAACTATTTTTTTTTAATTGAATATTTAGTAACAATGGAATGAATCAAAGTTGGTGTTGGGATGGTTTGATGAGTGGTGGGAGTCAAGTCAAAGCCTTATTCATTTGGTGGGAAGGGAACTGAGTCATTACCCAAAAATACGCTTCAGCCTTAATGCTTTCCCATGTTCCTCCCACTCTTCTATTCATCACTCTATCTTTTAAGAAAATCATGTTGGAGCAAAAAACAGAGAACCAAAACCAGACCCATTTCCAACTTTTTGTCTTATACACTTCTTCTTTATGTAAATAAATTAATTGTTTACCATTTTATTCAGTTTTGTTGGCAGTGGTGGCCAAAAGCCTGCAGGCCGATAATATAATATGCCAACACAACACTCCATTTCCACCTTAACACGTGTTTCCTTAACTGCCCAGAATTATTTAACACTAAAGCTTTCTCCCCTTTTCAAAAATCATCATCCTTTCACTATTTTTTTCACCTCTTCTTTATACTTACTATTATTTATCATTAATCATCAAACCTATAAATGATGATTATGGTAAAAGGTTAAACAATAAGGCGGATCAATATAATATACTTAACCTTTGGAAAGTTTCAACTATCTAGATTTAATTATTTTATTAACCCTTTGATCTTATGATTCTTAAATGAGATCCTGGAAGCTTTAAAATCATCATATGTTGTAATTTGTTTATTGTTTTAAGCTGTCAGAATTAATGTTAGATTGTTTTTAAATTAAGAAAACCTAATTTAGAAATTAGTTTTTTATAAATTTTCAAATAATCCAGAAACTTCCTGGATATAGAAGTCAATCCATTGAACTTAATTTATTTTGTCATCATCTATATCTCTTAGTACAAACATTTTTTGAAAAAATAAAAATAAAAAATCAAGGAGGTTTGCACCACTAAAAGTGGAGTACAGGGAACTCCATTAAAATGGCCTAAGACCACATGGTAGAGTTGACCTTTTCCGTCTTCTATGCAAGAAGAAAATTAAAAATAATAATAACTAACGATGTTATTGACGCTTTAAGAAAGAAGGAATCATTTATTCTTATTTGGTTTATATTATTTTCCTTTAATAATATGAAAATAAAAAAAAAAATTCAAACCTCTATAAAAAGCCATGTTACTTCTTCCTCCTCGAGACTAATTGTCTGCAACATTCAACTGACCAGATGACAACTTCATTCTCCACCTTAATATTTGTCTCTTTTGCTCTTCTCTTCTCTTCACCTTTTGGGGCTGAAGCACGGCCCAAGCCAAATATACCCATCTCTTCTCTCGTCACCAAAACTCTTTTCGACTCCTTTTTCCTACACAAAGATGACGCTGCATGCCCTGCTAAAGATTTCTACACCTACCACTCCTTCATTCGTGCATCAAAATCCTTCCCTGCATTCGGTACCACTGGTTGTTTAGCCACGCGCAAGCGTGAGATCGCTGCGTTTCTCGCTCAGGTTTCTCATGAAACCACTGGTGGATGGGCCACTGCACCTGATGGTCCATTTGCTTGGGGCTTGTGCTTCAAGGAAGAAATTAGTCCTCAGAGTAATTACTGTGATTCTACTAACACCCAATGGCCTTGCTTCCCTGGCAAAAGTTACAAGGGAAGAGGACCAATTCAACTTTCTTGGTATGATCATTGTTTCTTTGTTTCATTACTACTACTTCTTCTCTATTCAAAATCATGCTATTTGGTTAACTAGATCAATCTGATATATAAAATTGTTCTAACTTAATTTCTGTTAATCATGTTATTGCTACCAAGTATTTACTTGCTTCGTCCATGATAATTTGTATTAATCAACACGAGATTATTTCAACATATAGAATGTAAAGTTTTGAATTTTACTTCTGTCATAAGCTTGCCAAACTAAAACATGATCATATTCTGTGTCAAAAGATTCACTCATCATACCCTATATTATCTAGAGAGACACTTACAGTTACAATAATCAATGTTACTTGATGTATAAAAGAAGTTGAGTTATTTAATGAGTAGGGTAAAATTATGGGCAGGAACTACAACTATGGACCAGCAGGGAAGGCGTTGGGATTTGATGGGCTGAGGAATCCAGAGATTGTGGCGAACAATTCTGAGATAGCCTTCAAAACTGGTCTGTGGTTTTGGATGACTGAGCAAAAGCCAAAACCTTCTTGCCACGACGTGATGGTTGAGAAATACGTGCCTACAGAAGCTGACATAGCAGCGAACCGAACATCTGGTTATGGCTTGGTGACTAACATAATCAATGGTGGACTGGAATGTGGGATTCCTGGTGATGCAAGAGTCAATGATCGGATTGGGTTTTTCGAAAGATATACAAAGTTGTTCAACGTGGACACTGGACCTAACTTGGATTGTGCATATCAGAAACCCTTCTAACTCTTACCTTATGCTTTATTTTTGTGTATTTCTTTCCATTTTATTTTATTTTTCTCTGGCCAGAATTTAATATTGTATTGAAGAAAGCAAGCATCACCTTCTTCATAGAATTTTCCTAATGCAGTCTATCAGAACTTGACAAACAAAGTTTTATTATTCTACTTGATCGTCTAGTGCCACCCTTGCCGGAGGATATTCTATCGGTTTTCAGATGGAAATTTTGACATGAACATAAATATATTTTATCTACAGGGGAGAGAAAAGTGTTTGAATATCAAATTTTTTTCACTGAAATGATTCGAATGTACACTACTACAAATAAGCCTAAATTAATTCTGTCATTGACATGACTTGAACTAACTTCGTGTTGGAGGCTGATACTTCAACCATTAAACTACTCAAATTTTTTTATAATAACTTATAAATAAATTATATTTATATTCAAATAAATATATATATCGTGTAAATATATAAATACAAATATATTTATATATTTTGATATATTTATATAATTATATATTTATATGTTGGATATAAGAGCACGTTCGAAGGTAAAAATGTGTGTCGAGTGGGTTTTCAAAATTTGATGTCAAATTTGTAAGCGGTCTCTTTATATGCGTTTGTAATTTAATGACAGAATATAATATTTATTTATATAATGATATAAAATAAATTTGGGAAACGCATCATTCGCTCAAGCGAAAAATATTAATTTTCGCTCAAGCGAGTGAATTTCCGTGAGTTTTAACGTATTTTCACTCAAGCGAGAGTCAATCTCACTTTCACCCTCGAACGTGCCCTCACATCCAACATATAAATATATAAATATATTTGTATTTATATATTCTATATTTATATATTTACATGAATATATATTTATTTGTATATAAATATAATTTATTTGTAAATTATTATAAAAAAATTATAGTAGTTTAGTGGTTGGAGTATCAATTTTCAACTCTAAAATACTTGGATTTGAATGACAATTCTCTAACTTAAGTGAATTTTTGACTAAAAAAATAAAAACACTTTCCAGAAAATATATATAAATAAATATATATATTTACACGAGATATATATTTATTTGTATATAAATATAATTTATTTGTAAGTTATTATCGAGAAAATTACAAGTAGTTTAGTGGTTGGAGTATCAACTTTCAACTCTAAAATATTGGGTTCAAATCATTGTCGATGACAATTCTCTAACTTAAGAAAATTTTTGGCTGAAAAAAAATAAAAACACTTTCCGGAAAATATATATAAATAAATATATATTTACACGGATATATATTTATTTGTATATAAATATAATTTATTTGTAAGTTATTATTAGAAAATTACAAGTAGTTTAGTGGTTGGAGTATCAACTCTCAACTCTAAAATATTGTGTTCGAATCCTGTTAGTGATAATTCTTTAACTTAAGATAATTTTTTGCCTATAACATATTTAATGTTGGTTTATCTAGAACCGACGTGGAAAGTGTTTTCTACGTCGGTTGACTAAGAACCGACGTAGAATGTGTCCAACTTTCAACGTTATTTTTTAACCAACCGATGTTGAATATATTTAACGTCAGTTCAGTTTTAACCGACGTTAAATGACGATGTTGAAAATATATTTTGTAGAAATGGTAACAGAACGACAAGTAGCATATATAAATGTAAGAAAGAAAGTGGGATAAAATAAGAAATGGAGGTGATGATGTCATTCTTCATTATTTATTTCTCACTCTTATATTTGTTAAACTGATTCTTTCAACTATTTGAACTTATCCGGCCACCACTTTCTCAATTATTATTTTTTCAATGTTACGTTTAATCTCCTATAGTTTTTAATTTACAAATTTTGACCTTCTTAATTTTAATTATTTACATTTAGTCTTCTCACTTATAAATTTAGACCCTTTTAATATTTCCCTCACTTACCATCTATTGTTAAATGTTGACTCTTACTTTCTAACCTGAGGATGAATATTGAGCAGAATAAGTGAGTTTCACGACTTATCTCTCCAACTTAGAATAATTAGTAAATAGAAGAATTCCTGAGAGGTAGAAATTCCAATTTTTCTTTAGTTATAGGCAGGTGAACCGAAATGATTGGATAATTTTTATTTGGATTCTAATTGATGGATTAAAAATAATTTATGAATCAGTTTCTGAATTCATTATAACTTCCATCCTCCTCCACCTCTTTTTAATAAAAAGTTTATTTAGTTCCTTCGTCAATAATTTTTATTGATAGATATCAGATCCATTTCTAATTTAAAAAAAATACAATAAAATAAAGTTTCTTATAATTTTTTTTAAAATACTCATTTATCCACGAAAGAATTTTTGGAAATTAAATAATTTTGTAACTTTCTCGTTAATTTTCATTAAAGAAATTTTATCTGTATTACTTTTTAAGATAATTTTTAAAATTTAAAAGTTATATGAATAAATCGTGAGATTGATATATAAGAATTTTTTTAAACCTTTGAAAAAAAAAGAAATCAAATAGTAAAATGGGTTATTTTAAACCATTTTATTCAAAATAGTTGTTTTGACTGTTTTACTAAAGAGAAATAGAGAAGGTTGACCCCTTTGATAATTGAGGTTAGCTGAAAATTTTGATCTATTTTTTTAAAATAAATTATTATAGGTTGGTTTATCAAATTTTTATTAATATATATTTCAAATAACAAAAAAGAATTTATAATCCTTAAAATTATAATTTATTTTATTTTAATTCTAGTAAAACAATTTTAAAAATGCGGATTATAGGATGAGACCAGGCATGACAGAATCCATTAGCAAATGAAAATCTTAAATTAATGATAAGATGATGGATTGACATTGAAATATGTTATTTTCACCATTTAATAACATTTGCAAATCATTTTATGAGTCTTATCTAAGTTACTATTTAAATATAGCACTTGCACATATCCAAACTTATCCTTCTGTGACTCTTATTTAAGAAACTCTAAAGATACCACCATAAGATCTGAATAATAATTTAGCCTCTTTTAACTTACTCAGATATATTATATCAACATCAATAATAACCTGATTTTAAATAAGATCTGAATATTAAGAATAAACAATATTTAATTATGAAAAAAAAAACAAATATAAATTAGAAATTGATAAAAATTCAAGTGGGTAAAGAGAAAAGCCAATGGTTGATTAGAAGTTGAGTTGTAGAAAAGAAACAAAGGTACGTAATATCCCAGCAGGGTTAAGAATGTACAACACTAATCTTTTCCACTATTTTCGAAGAAAGAGCAGAGTGAGCTATGCATATACATCTATCTGTGCATACTTCACTAAACAAAGTAAGACTTGCTAAAGTTTCTGATCTGCTACCACAGTGAGTCTCACTCTAGAGGACAAAATTGGAAATCACTGCTAGTGTCGTGTACACTCAACACCCGAATGTGTCTACCCTTGTGATCTTCAATCTCTTTACAGTGGATAAGAACATCCTACACCATCAAAAGAACACCCACATTAATGCACAATGGAATATATAATGCATTTGTTTCTTACAGGCAAAATGGAATCAATCAACTTACTCCCAAGGAACATCTCCAACCATGACCAAATCCCCTTCCTCATCTTCGTATGTTAGCACATGGCGTCTCTCAGGTTGTACTCCATTCATCTCTGTTCCCCCTGTTAACAGGGCACAATATTCCACTGTTATTTCTCTTTATGAGAGAAAAAAATGTTAGCACTATCTGGTACACTCTTTTGAACACATTTTATTAGTTTCAAAGTAAAAAGGATCATTCATTATTTGATCATTTATAACAAATATGAACTAAAAAATAAAAGAAATTGAACTGTTAAAGAAAAGAGACAATAGACTTACAAAGAATGGTGGTATCGAACATGTGTTCAAGAGTCTTCACTAACTCATAGTAGCCTCCATGAGCAAGTATATTGAGTTTCCTTCCTATTGGAATGCCTTCCATGTAGACCTTTACAAAGAAGCTGCTATGATCGTTGCAATCATTCACTTCAGCAGCTTGTGAAGTGTTCACCAGAGGGTGGTATGGTTGTTGCCAATGCCCCCTTTATCATCAAATAAACAAACACGCTATCATTGTTGGGTCAATTAATCAAAGTTTCGTGATTTGAGCATGCACAAGTAGTGCCACAATACAAACCTTGAAATAGAAGAGCCAACACGATGAGAGGCAGAAATGCTGAGTCCAAGGCTAAGATCAGTGGGAAGTTCTTGGGTGAGAGAGGATGCCGTTGAAATGAGAAGGTGGTGCTGGTGGTGGCTGCTACTGCTGATAGAGGAGGAAGAGGAACTAGAGTGTTTTCCCATTGTGATATTTGGAAGTAGCAAAATGATGATGATGACACACTAAGCCGCCACCTTAAGGGCTTAAATAAACGAAGAAAGAGATGATGGTCCTATTCCTAGAATCAAGACTTCCTCTGCACCAGAGCCACTTCTCACCCCACTTTTTCTTTTTTCCATGTAATTGCTTGCTAGACCTAAAATGTCGTCATGGTAGCCGACAACTACACGTGTCAATAACAAAACTCCAACTTGGCATCTTTCCACTGACGTGTGTTTATTCCATTCAATTTTTCATTTTCAACCCCTCTTCATATTAATTAATTACCATAGTATAGTTATAATCTCAATTATTAGTATAAGCTTACAGAAAATTTAGTTTAGGAAGCCACATGTCTCTGTGTTACAATTTTAAAACATGATTTAAAAGGTTTTAAATAAAAAGAATCATTCATTCATTTGTAGTAATTTAAATTAAGATTGTGGTACATAAGAGGGAAGAAGAATATAGGAGTGATTGTTAGAGGGAATGAATATGGAGTGGTGCAGAGAATTGATGGGGTGGACAAGAGAACATCGATATCTGAAACCTTGTACATACATGCAATATCCAATAATCAATGTTCAATGGATATAATCATCGTGTTGCGCATGAGTGACCTTGATTGGAGAGACAAAATATATAAAGGCATTGGAACTGGTGATGCTACATAAACTGCTGTATACTCAGAAACATATTGATGTACGCTCCTTGAAAGGTTCTGTGAACAGCAGAAAAACCATCATCGACACCACAACATACTTATGAAGAGAAGTTGTGCGCATTTATGACCGCTAACTTTCTACCAGACAACCCTTCTCTCTTTTCCTTTTCAACAATTCAACTACACAACAAACAATCTTTCTACTACTACCATTGTCTTCCATGCAAAAAACTTTTACCATCTTTTTAAATAATTCAAAATGTTTATACACCGTTGCTCTTCAATTATTATCCCTGAAGTATTTCTTAATAGTATCCTTCTTCTGTCCTCCAGCGCTACAGCCTGAATAACGTTTACTACATTCATAACAAGTATTTATAGCAATATTATAATAGATATTATATATCTATTTATTTATTATTCATTTATTATAATATTCTAAATTACTCATGAATATTTCATAGTCAATAAAAAATAAATGATAAATTTAGAGGGGTAAATTCTTTATGAAAAAAAAATTACCGTTTTAATTAATTTGATAGATAGTAATAAAGTAGAAAGAGATATATGATGATTTAATATTTTAACTCAATTGAAAAATAATATAAAATACCCTTTCCGATAAAAAAAATTTAGTCTTAAAAATTATTAATATTTGATTGATGTTTTCAACTTTTAATAAAATATTATTTATTTTATTGTTAATTTGGTTTCAAACAAATTATAATTCGTAGTAGATACATATAATATATTCATTGAAATACTAGAGTTGTTTATAAATAAAAGTATTTCAATATTTATATTTATGTTATTTGTAATTTATGTAAAATAATTTGAAACTACGCCCAATTTAAACAAATTAATTATTAATAAATTTTGATATATTACGTTTTTTAATAAATATCTTTAATGTATCAATCAATGTAAAGTATAAATATTGAATAAAAATATAAAAAATTAATACATAGTTTGTATTTTTCTGGCTAAAGCAAAATCCGGATAAATAGGTCTTTATTTTTTAAGTAAGTGTTTATTAAACAAATCGTGCTTCTATTAAAAGTTTAAAGTTTCCGTAAAAAAAAAGTTTATAAATAAATTAAAGATCAAAATTTTAGAAAGTTGTTCAGAAAAAAAAAATTATAGAAAAATTAATCTCAGTCTTTTTCTTTTTCTTATTTTAAAAAAATGTATAGACAAATTTATCCAAACAAACTCTCTCCGTGACTTTGTTACCTCGAACCTTTCTTTTATCTTTTAAAAATTACTAAAGTCATCCTATCTAGAATATATATTTAAATTTTCATTCTCCCTAATAAAGTTAATGTTTATATATTTAGTTGTGAAATTTCGTATTAAATAATGTTACTTCATTCTTTAATTGATTATATTTTATTTTTTAATTTTCTTAATAAATATTTAAATTTCTTCTGTTCATACTAGATATAGTAAAATAGTAAAGTAGTTTTACTTCAGAAAATTGAAAAAAAAAATTAAAGACATTTTACTTTTATACTTAAAATTATGCTATAATACTCCCTTAGTTTAAATGAAAGTTAAAAAGTTTACACAATTTTAAGTTGAAACCTTACTTTTGCATTTTGAAAAGTGAGATGCTACCTGTGGTAAGATACTAAAATGGGAGGTAGACATTACTATAAATTGAAGGAAGGAAGCAATAAACAGGGGAGGGAGCACTGGAAAAAAAAATGTCATCAATGAGAGGGAGCAAACAGTAACAAGAAAGAATCAGAATTGTGGAACATTGTGACAAGTGTGAAACTATTAATGACTTTTTAAAATGCTCAAATCATAATGCACTCCTATCTCGGGGACACAAAATCAACCTTATTTTATTTTTTTTAACACAACAAAACACAAAACTAAACCACACTTCTTTCTATTCTACCACGTACTGTATCGTATTATTCATCGGTTCTTCTCCGTTCAACACCTCACCCCACGTGTACCATTCATTTCACGGGAATTTTCCTTTTCCCTTTCCCCTATCACATGTTCATAGTTTTCCATGTTCCTTCAAAGCCATAAAGAGGGAACACCAATTAAGAACCACGGAACAAAGAGGGAACAAGAACTTGGATGCTTGGATCTAAAGAAACGGGTAATGCTAGCTAATAAACATTCAAACATCTTAATCAGAATCTTTAACACATTAAAATGAAAAGAATATGTTTAACACGAGTAAAAGAATGAAAAAGAAAAGGTAAAATGTTCCCTGTCACCCCAACCATGACTCCATAAGGTTGCTTTCATTAGCCATCAATTTGTCATTTGGTCTCCAACACAGTATTTGCGTTGAACCTTAGAAAAAGCAGCGTGTAACCTACATTCCCCCTTTTCTTCAATAGCCTTAGTAAATGTGTCTCATCATGTTAAGACCACGTAGTCCAATTTCTTTAAACTTCATCTTTTTGCATTGTACCACATCGTTTTTTCAATACTTGCGTCTCCCTTGTCTTTCTTAACAACCCTCTCTCTAGTCTTTCATAATCGAGTTTCATTTCCTGTTTTCTCCGTACAAAACAACAACTATTTAAATTTATAGTTTTGTTTCCTTTGTTTATTCGACTTTTTACGTTTAAATGTAAAATTTTTTATTGAAAAAATTTATTTTCTCATTTGAAAACATAATAATATTCTGAATTTTATAATTAAATTGATATTTTTATCCAAAGTGTCTTTCACTTCCTAATAATATCTTAACTAAAAGAATATTGCTGAAGTAGACCAACTCAAGTTCTTCTCTAATTCTGTCACTTTTGTGATATTGAATAAGTTATATGCATAATATATGACAAGAAAATAATACGTTCGACCTAGTTTGGAGGGAGATGACAGGGAAAGGGTTAGAAGAAAATCTTGACAACTATGAAAAAAAATAAAATTTAACTTAATAAACACTTTTTGCCTATCATCATTTGAATTCTTAACCTCTTAGTTGGAATAATTTGCGGTAAACTTTTCCTAGATTTAATGAATATATATATATATATATATATATATATATATATATATATATATATATATATATATATATATATATCAATATTTCTCTTGGTCCTAATACAATTGTTCTTAATATATTGATCCTGATTTTTCATTTCATTTGCCTCATTACTTTGACTCTCAAAAATAAATATGAGAACGAATCAAAAGAAAATTTTAAAAAGATTTTTAAGATAAAATTAAAAGAGTAAAGAATTTAAGGAACGACATAAAAAAAACTACTTTGAAGGATAAATAATAAATAATTTTTATTAGATTAACAAAATATAAAAACAAACTTAAAAACCAAAATCATACTTAAGCTTACATCTTTTCTTAAAAAAAACCATGTTATTGTATTAGTTTAATAAATTGTCACTGATTTTGATAAAATTATCAATCTTTTTTTTTTCACATGCTTCTTCCCTTCCTTTATATAAAAACAAATCGTTGCACTTTCTCTCTTATGAGAAACATTGGCTCATATTTTGACGTATTAAATTATAAAAATGTATGCCCTTATATAATGTATTATAAATCTATTAATGAAATAAAAATAACTTATTATCTATTTAAGTAGATGCATTTATTAACCCATTGACAATATAAACTACGTTTATTGGTGGAAAAATATTTATTGAATTTCGTTTATTATCATTAAAGTATAAGCACTTATTAAACCATTTAATGTTAAGTGTTTTTAGAATAAAATTTAAATATATAATATCATTAATTAAAACTAATTTCATTTTGCGTGTGTGTTACATATCATTCTAATTTATATAAATGTATATTTAAAATTTACTAATTATTTACGTATCATTCTAATTTATATAAATGTATATTTAAAATTTACTAATTATTTACGAATTTGAGATGATATTCATCTTGAGATGTTTCTAGTGTATTTTCCTATTTACCTATTCAAGCATATATGCATGTGGGTGTTGGTTTCAATCAAGACCAAATATTTTGGGCTTAAAAGATGACCCATTGCGTGGATTGTGTTGTAAGTCCAGTCCAGAACAAATTAGGAGTCCATTATCATATAGATGGGGTTAAACACAAACTTTAAATGATAGAAAATTTCATTTACGTATATAACTGGTCAAACCCCATGAAACTACGAAGGTTGGAGAATAAAATGGCAAAGAGATGAGTAGGTTACTACTCTCAGCCAAGAAATATTGAATGAATAAAATATAATAAAATTATTCACGGTAGAAATCATTCTCCATCAATACATGTTTTGGCTTGCAACTTGATATTTCTTTATGAGGTTGGAAAAACTAGTATCTTCTTTGTTTGAGCCACAGTTTGAAAATTTGACCAGAATAGGAATGTAAAATTTGAGATTTTCCCCTACTTTATTCATTGAGGAAGGTTATTCCTGAGAATCTTTTTAACCCCCCTTGCAGAATTGCTGGTATAGATGAATTTCAAAGTTTTATTACCCCATGTTGCTATGGTTCAATATCCTATCCGAAAGAAGCTATTATAGAATGCTTAATATAGATTGTGAGGTGAAGGGATTAACCCAAGGACTAGAAACATTGAGAAAGATTTAAAAGCACAAAGCTAAAGTTTAGGCTTATTGTACTTTAAGCTTCCTCGTGCCTTTACCCATTATCCAAGGTTGAGTTGATGACAGTAGAATGTGTCAGAGTTTTTGTAGGTCCAATAGTGGGAAAAATAGCACATTTCTGGGTTTGACTGCAACAATATGTACCTCATCACTTTTCCCTAATCAGGCTCCACTCGAAACGGTTCTACTCTTGAATGAAAGTAGTGGTGGGAAAACTAATCTTGGAATCTTATCAGAGCTTTGATAACTACTTCATGAAACTGATAGATACTAGTTTAGAATGCAGATACTAACAGAAAGAAAAGACAAAGTTTTGATTGAATATCTTTCTCCCACTCCAGATCAATGGCCCCAAAGTGAAGAAGAAAAAGAATATCTCTATGGTTTCGCTTCATATTCTTAGACTAGATAAAATGTTATAGCATTCGAGAATAAACTTTATGCAGCTTTATCTATTGATTCGTTATATTCAAACAAGTTTCAATTCTGTCTTTAATTATTAGCTTTCTTTCTATTTTCCAATTCTTTTTAATTCCTTAAGCTTCTTGTTTAATGAAAGATGGATAGTGAGCTTACCAAAGCAATTAGGTTGAGATTTGATACAAATATTCGTAAGTAGTTGCTAATTGCCCTTGCACTAGATGATTCCTAACAAAAATATTTGGCTTTGAGGACTGTCCTTGGGAAAAACTAACCTAAAGGCCCAGAATTTTGTAAGACCCACTCACACACAATGTCATAGATAAGGTAAATGGCCCAAGTTCAAAGAGTCCACTAAAGAAACCAATACATATATACATATGATATGACAATACTTCTGTTCTGCCAGAAACCACTCTTTCTGGTACTTTCCACTTTACATTTTATTTGGTTGCCTATAACCTGCTATCAGGAACACAATTTAGTATGGAATCAGGAAACCTAAAGTTATGCAAATTATTTAAATCTTATTTAAGATCAACTGCATTTGCATAATAAAATAAGTTATTTAGTTATATTACCCGTTAAAGGGGAAATATTAATAGTGTTAAAGTATAAAGCTTTGTCAATAGTTTTATTAGGCATAAAAGTTAAAAAATTAGACTATGCTCCATGTCAATTTTATGATGGACCTAAAATTTCTTAGACATAGCCCTGCCTGTTGAAAATTCCAATTCGGCGAATTGGTAAGCCCTATACAACTGTTTAGCCCTTTAGTTTTAGTTCAATCTCAAGTAAAAAAAAATGTTAAAAGATGTCAACTTCCTTTGAATAAGTTTTAATATTTTAAAAAATTAGTTATGGATTTCGTTCCGATAATACTCCAAATTCAACCAATAAATAAATAAAAAACATCATATGTACTTTAGACATGATTGTCATTTTATCCATATATTTCTCTGGCTGCATTAACAAAAAAAAAAAAAAAATGAGTGCATCATGAGTTGATGCCGAATGTGAATAGTTCTGGATCGTCACAAAGATGATGAACACCCTAGAAAAGTGCAGCCACTAATATTCCAAGGGTCATACGAACAAAGAAAGGTAACGACAAATTTTTAAGAAAAAAATCCAAGATAAAGTTTTAAACCACCTAAACTTTCCATCTCAACTTTTTTATAAGATGGTAAGGGTTTATATTTGAAATATGATCATGACCCCAAAAATCTGAATTTTTTTTCTTGACAGAAACTCCATCACCACATAACAAAGCGAGATCAATGGAAAAGGTTGACGTGGAAAGAAAGAAAAAAAAAATAGTGAACTACTGTTCAAAATCTAACTACGAGAGGAAATAAATAAATGACATGACATGGAAATACCCTACAAATCAAAGAGGCATGTACATATATCATTTCATAGTCAATAAGACGGACTTTATAATTTAGGTCATTATTTTGGGCCCATTATAAAGGATGAAGCATTTTCATTTTCTCTTCATGAATGAACAGTTATGTTTTATCATGTGATAGTATAAATCAGATATATGTACATAAGCTTTTGTAGGTGATTTGGAGAACATTAAATAATGCACCTAATTAAGATTATGATACACTTATTATAGCTTAAATACTATATAGTAATGATATCAAATGTTGGTTTTATATTTATGTTGTTTGAAGAAAAATTGAAGAAGGAAGGTGTGGAAATATATATGATTTGTACAGTGGAGATGTGTGTTGTGTTATCCTGACGCCGGTAGAGTGTTATGGTGTTGGAAACTTTGTGTGTCATTTTCGGGTGTGTGGTGTTGCATCGTGGTCGGTAGATTTCGCGAGAGGATCTTAAAAATTCCAAGTACCAGCGATATGGATGAATACGAAAAGTACCGACAAGAGTACGAGGTGGCACGTGAATCCATGGTGAGTTTCACGTGAAAGTGGGAGACCCACTCGCACATTTTCTCTTGTTAGGATTGGAAAATGAGACATGATACATGAGGGGAGGGTGTGCCTCTGTGTGAACCCCATGGCCCCTCCACTTAGATGCTCGTGGTGGAGGGTCCTCACCCATGCCAACACACCCCACCATAACCTTAGATTCCACCTACTGCCCTTTTCTCTGCTTGTTATTATCATCAACACGTTTCTCTCATAATCTCACCTTTGATTTTCAGTTATCATAGTAAAAGAAAAAAAATCAGAAAAGAATGTTCTTTTTTAACCACATGTCGTTTTTTTATTGAGAAGATGAGAAGGGGGGACACGAAACTAAAACATCTGGTTTCATTCATCTGCGTAGAATATATTCAAGATAACTTGTCTGTGAACGCGTGATTCAGTTTGTATAGAAAGGGAACAAAACAAACAATATTAAAATGTATTTTAAAGATAGAAATAGTGTGTGTTTACCTTAAATATCTCCTCTAAATTTAGGAACATGGTGTGTCATTTTCAGGGAGAAATACAAACAAACAAGTAATTTGTTTGATATGGCACATATCATGAGGGAAATGTGGAGAGTTAGGAAAGGGGGATATAATGCTGGTCCACTTCCCTTGTTTGATACCTAACCAGTATAACATGACAAAAGAGAACTACATGAAATTTGTGGACACCTTTGGGGGAATCCACCAATTTTTATTTTTTTTATTTCGCTGAGTACTAGGAATTATAGTGAGATATGACTTGTATGCCATTCCAACGAAGACCACATGGAGTAGCAGTATTTATTACCAATTCCTCTTAGTAGATAGATCCATACATTCATTCATTCCCTCCACCTCAAGATTTTGTACCGTACAAGAAACCACTGCGATCCATTATTTGACCCCTACTTCGCATCAAGCTTCAACAATCCAGGACATCAGTTTCTTCAGATTAAGCACTAGAGTTCGTGCGTGCACAGTGCCAAATCCTCAGCATAACATAATTCCAATTCCAATTTGTTGGCTTCACATCCCTTATTAATTGGGCTCGCAGAGAGACTGCTATTGTTAACCTACCATATCCATCAAGCGTGTGAAACCCAACATAGCAGCAAAGCCAAGCAAGGAAGCTCGATTGTTTAGCTTAATTAATTTCGTTCAGTCAAATAATTCAGAAGATGGTTGACTCCATGACAAGAAACTCTTCCCATGTAGCCTCCATGTAAGTGTTAATTAATTTTTGTATTACAATTTGGATACATAGAACACGGCTTTATATCATAATGTATTTCATTATTCTATGGTGTTTCGTTTCATCCTTGCTATTTTTTCCTGGTTTAGTTGTAATCGAAGTGGGTGATTTTGTTTCAGTTATCACGATGATTTGCTTGAGCTGGTGTGGGAAGATGGTGACGTTGTTGTACGAGGAGGTTCATCAAATAGATCACAAAGGACTAACGAGGATAGAGTGTGTGAAGGTGCCAGCATTAGAAAAAGAACAAGGTTGAACCCTTTATACTCGCTTGAAGATCACTTTCCCCTTCTAAAGGAATCTGACACGAGCTCTTCACATCAAAGCAATGGCCAAGATTCGCGTGAATCCTCCCAAACTAAGAATTCCTGCAAGCTTAACGAAGAATTTGAAAACTTACTGAGACCAGTAAAAGACTCTAAGCCTGTTACCCCAGGCTACAGCCTCTTACAACAGCGCTTGCCTTCATCTCCTCTCGAGAAACATAGAACAGATTCAACCCAAACACCACCACCAGCAAACACACGGAATATGGGGTTTGATCAAAGAACAGCTAAAGTGAACTTCTCCAATTTTTCAATACCTGCAGTGTTCGTCAAATCTATTACTTGTAAGGGAAACAGTGCAACTCAGCAGGCAAAATATCATTCATCTCCAGCAAAAGTGGAGGAGATTGAGGCGCGCAAGGTTGAGAAATCAGCTGAAGAATCACAAGTGCTTCGAAAGCAAACATCCTTAACTGTTGAAAGAAGTGCAAACCCACCCCCACCCCTTGATGAGCACTCTGAAGCTGTTGGTCTTGGAATTCACAGATACCAAGGTCAACTACCTTGTGACCAAACTCCAGTCTCAGAAGCACATAAAGAAAAGGAAAAAGCTTATAACAATAATAAAAATAATAATACCGTGTGTCGAGAACCGTTCCTGGCATCTTCTTCTGTGTGCTCTCTTGGAGCCTCCAACTACCCAAACCTTGGTATCAGGAAACATGAGGACACTGATGACTCGGTATATTTAAGTGATGTAAGTGGAACCCTAGGCTATGTTTTTACCTTCTTTAGCCCTTCGCTTTAGTTACCATCAGTCTCACGGAACATGGATCAATTTATTTGATGCAGAATGATGAAGAGCCTGAAGATACGTTAAAGCAAGATAGGGAGGGTAGCAGAGTCAAGAGAAGCAGGAATCCTGAGGTTCATAACTTATCTGAGAAGGTGAGGAAATCGTATTGGACATGATAAAGTAGATCATATGAAATGAAATACACCCATAGAAATATAGTGAGAAAAAATAACAGATCAAGAGCTCGTATATCTGAAAATTAGTTCCATGTATCTGATAGTCGTGGATATGTTTGCAGAAGCGAAGAGAAAAAATCAACAAGAAGATGCGTACATTGAAAGAGCTCATACCCAATTGCAATAAGGTACGTGTGTCGACTGTATTACAGACAATAAATTATTACATAGTTAATCACTATGATCTTTATAAATTATGAAATTCAACTACATATCATTTGAAGATTGACTAGGATAATAGATACAAAATGATCTCGGAATACGTGATAATTTAGTTTCTAACTTTCTCATTATGTCTAACATCTTTATAGCAAGAACTTCTTGGCTTGTTTTCTCTAAGTTTCGTCTTGTGTATGTCTCCAGGTGGACAAAGCATCAATGCTTGACGATGCCATCGACTATCTGAAGACTCTAAAGCTTCAGTTACAGGTAAAATTTTGAAGTCCACCAGTGTTGTGCAAAGGATGCTATCCAAGACTTGACCTTGATTTACAAATATAGGGATTTGAATGAAAGTCTAAAGCATAGTGCTATGTATATGAAATGATGCAGATGATGTCAATGGGAAATGGTTTATGGCCGCTTATGATGCTACCTGCTGCCGCGGCGCATCACATGAATGGACCATATTTACCTCAGTTAGTGGGAGCTGGAATGGGATTCCGGCCACCACAGGTTCCTATGCCACCACTTTCTGCTATTACAGACAACATATGTCGTCAGATGTTTGGTTTCCCCAACCAAACACCGCCTATGCCAATGCCTCATGCACCTTTCTTCCCCATCATTGGAAATTCTCCCACACGACCACACTTGGCTACCACCACCACCCCTACCACCGACTTGGCACAACGTCTTGCTAAATCTGCTGCATCTGTCTCACTCCCCAACATCATGGACCCTCTTGAAAATGCAACACAACTCCAGAATCAGGTTTCCTTTCAACACCGCGGCACTAGTACCCCACTAGCTACCCCTTTCATTTTTTCACCCAAGTAGAGGAAAATGTGCAGGGAGGGAAACCTGAGAGTGATAAAATTAATAAATTAGATTCGAGATGTTAATTAGAGGCGAGTGTAGAGTTTGGTTCACCCTTTTCATAAAGATGGTCTACATTTTTCTGATCATAGAATATCGGTTGCAGAATCTGACATTTCACAGTTTCATGCGTGCTTTCACCCTTGTACTAGTATCATTTATCCGTGCACGAGACTTTATTAATAATAAATAATAATTTAATATCAAACTAAATATTAACGATAAATAAGATATTGTGTTGTTTTATTATTTTTAACTTGAAAATATTCATCCACACACGAACGATCGACAGTGAGATACCTTAGATTGTGATAAAATAAATTTTGATTAAAACTTGTTTAATAACTAATTATTATGGTAAATCTAACGTTTTACCTGTGTTTATCTAGTTGAATTAGTATTTTAGTGTCTGTTTTTCTATGAGATAAATATTTATTTATATAAAATTCATATATATATGTAATATTCTATAAAGAATAATTTGTAAACTATTGACATTTAAAAAAATATATTAATGTTTTGTTTGCTTTTTTTAATTGTAGTTAGGAATCTGATATCTATTGGCATGCTCATTTGAGAAGATTTGGAGCAATCCGACACCCTTCAAAATTTATTATAACATGATAAAAAAGTGAGTGAACGATAACAAATATTTGAATTATTCTTTTTAATTTTTTTATTTATATGAATATTTTATTTCATTCTAAAAAATAATTTTCTCTTTGTACTAAAATATTATTATTTAATTATCTTATATTTAATCATATTAATTACAATAAATTTATTTAAATCAATTATTTTTCTCTCAATCTAAATAACTCACAAATTCAATAAAATCACCTTAAATTTACTCTTTCCAACTCACACCAAACACAAGTTCAAATCTTAAATATAATAAATGTTAATTGAAAAATTGAAGCCAAAAAAAAATTCATTTAAAGGTTAAAAAAATAATAATTTAGGTATCGAAATAAATTATAACAGTTTCTTACCAGTCAAACTTCAAGTGCGAATCATAAAGCGAAAACTAAACCCTATATATTGATATTTGTGTCAGATTGATTAGTCCCAAATAATATGACCAAAAAAATATTTAACTCTAAAAAATAAAAATATTCGTGAATATATTATATAATGATATAGTTATAAAATAAAATATAATCCATGGTTCTCCAAATATTAAATTAGTCTGTATATGCATTGAATTAACGTATAAATAACTTGATCTTTTAGTTTATATTTCCTTGAAAAAATAAATTAAATTCTTTGAACACATAATGCATCTTTCCAGATAAAATATAGAACATTCACTCGTAACTCTTAACTCTTCTTTTATTTACATAATGAATTTAAATGGTGTTGAATTCGTTATCATAATGTTATGCATTACGTCACCCCTTATCCATTATGGAGCGATCCTCCAGCTGAATGTCGGGATTATCGATTAAAAAGAAAAATGATGCAACGAAAGCCTTATCGTCTCAAAAATTTGAAGATGGAGAAATTGTTTATTATTATTGTTATGAGTTATACATTATTTAGAGGTAAAGGTCAAGAAAATTATATACACTTTTTTTTATTATTGAAATGAATTTTAAAAATAAAATTATGATGAATAAAAATTTTAAAACAGACAATATTTTAAATATATAAATTGATTTAATAATTTTATTATAATAAATATAAAATTAAACATTATTATTTTTAATAAATATATAAATTAATCTAACAATATTATCATAACGAATATAAAATCGAATATTATCATTTTTAATAGAACAAGTAATATTTTATATTAATCTATATATAAGATCAATATCATATATAATATAAGAATAATTGTCATTAATGACTTGAAATTCAGAAAAAATTATTAAAATTTCAAGATAAATAAATCATATATAAAAATAAAGAGATAACTCACTTTTTTTCTATTAAGATAAGTCGAAATAAATTCATGAGAAGATTAATTTCACTTTTTTTTTTTTAAGAAAATTTAACATCTATCATAAGATTGAAGATAAATTCTTATTTTATTAATAATTTTTAGTCACCGAATAAGAATTATGTTTCGATATGATCATAAATCTCATATTATTTAAGAGTCAAGATCAATAATAATTTATATGGATCTTACTCTTTAAATCACTAATGTATTTTTCAATAATAAAATCATAACGGACTAAAAACATTAATATTTATTTACTTAATAATTTGTTCATATGACATCACTTCCTAAATAATACAATATTCAATCTAGTTATTTTGTAATAGATATTTTTTATTTTGTTTATAAATTTGATTACTAATACAAAATACATGAAATGTACTTTTAGCAAAATAATATTGGGTGAATACATTAAGCAAGATAAATTTAGCAATATATGCATTAGATTATTTTTACAATAATAGTTTATAAATAAACATATAATTTTAATATATTTGATACATCATTAATTTAAAATTTTAAAAAATATATAAATATTATTTTTCTAGTTTGTAAGTGTTGGTATAGAATTTGTATTAAAATAATATTTTTAATGATCAGTAATCTTTATAAATAATTTATTTAGGATTTAAAATTTAAGAATATATGTGAACCCATCTTACATTTTTTTTTCGACAATTAGTTTAAGTCGAATTTAAACAAGTTATATTTTAATAATTTATTTAGTTTTTGTGAGTCACAAAATATTTATGGATTAGTTTGAAGTAAAAGTTATATATTTTTTTCTTTAAAATAATTTTTAATATAAATGAAAAATCTTTTACTTCAAATTTCAAAGTCCGAAACACCAATTTGAGAAACCCTAAATATCATGAATACAGGTAATAATAAGAAAATAAAGTAGGCAAAAGTTGGCCAAAATTAATATCCAAATTCAAATCCTTCATAAATGACAGAAGAAACAGATGTGAACGAGACAAACAGCAAAACACAACAATTCAACTTTTTTGTGCTTTTTTTATGACCAATCACCAAAAGATGACAAATGAATAAAGAAGCTAAACAGTAATATAAAAAAGAAAAGATCCATCCTTTTAAATTGTTGGGGATACGTTCACCGATTCATTTTCACACCATATAATTATATTTTATAAAATGCAAAATTTTAAAATGGTAGAAAAGATTATTTTACAAACTAATTTTACTGGATTAAATTAAGTGTTTATTATTTTTAACATAAAATATAAGTGTCGGTTCTTGTAACGGTCATAAACCTCCAAATAATAGAGAAGCTAATAAGATAGGTTGACTTTCTCAGAAATTTGTTGTTACGTAGACCCAAATATGAGAGCACATTGCAGAGGCCATTTTCATTTATGCAAGGGGCATAAAATGACAAATGAATCACACGAGGGAGTTATGTTGAAGAAGGTGTTTGTTTTAAGTTATCAAAATTTATGCTTAAGAAAAAGGTTGGGAAAATTTGTATTTTTCAAACCTTACAAGAATACATTTGTAAGCATGTGTAAATCATTAATGGGATTGGATCAATACTTTCTAAAGGGTATTCATGGTGTTATGAATCAAATGGTTTCAAATGGATAATTTCTTTATGCGAAATATTTTTCACTCCACAAATTCTTACAAAATTCACAATTTTTGGTTTGATTTGAAACTAATTCATTTCACTCAGCAAATTTATGTCTCTTTCAACAAAAATTTAGATGAGTAAAAAAAATGTCATTGTGAATAGTAACAAGAAATAACACCACTCCATCTAGTAGATCATTCTTCTACCACCCACTAGATAAAAAAGTCACATCTTTTACTTTATTTATGTGTTTACTCTATTTTGAGTTTTATAAACCCTACTAAAAGTTTGTATTTTTATTTTTTCTTGCGATATTTATTTGTTTAGATAGTGAGCTTGTGAAAGCCACTTAAAGTCTTTTGAGAAAATTTGTATTTTCCAGTTTACCATTTTTGCGATTTAGTATGCTTGGCAACAAGTGAACATTAATTTTAACATTAAATTATATCAACAAAAGCCAGTGGATGACGTACTTTATAGAGCAAAGAATTATGGATTCGTTTCAGCCTAGAGATAATGAATTATTGTTTCCTTCTATACACAAATCATTGCTTTCACTTCTTGCTACTGGCATTTCCAGATGAGAAGAAAATCTAAAGGACAATCACTCAAAATATATTAATGCATTCAGTGAGTTACACATGAAGGGTTTTTTATTTTTTTTATTTTGCTTTGTCAACTCAACGATGTGTGTTTGTCCAAGAGTAAATTTTAAAGATAAAACCCTAGAGGAAATTTTGGTGTAAAGTCCATTTATTTTTAAATGATGGGGTCATTTTCTAATAGGTTAAGAAAACTTTCCCATTGGATTTTGTTATTAAACTGTGACAGTCCAAATAAAAATTCTTATCACTAAACACATTTTCGATTAAGTAAAATAAAATAATAATAAAAAAACTACACAATTTATGTTTATGTTGACATTGAAAAGTGAGGTAACAATCAATTTAATTTCAACACTTCAGTCATATAGGAGAATCTTCATTTTAGTTGGAGATCAATGAATGAATGATGACACAAAATACACATTTGTTGTATTTGTAAGAACCACTATCAATTTGTTTGTTTATCAATTTTGAATCTCTTAAATGAACGCTTCGAAACTAAAAATTATTACTTCTCATGCAGCAGTGTTTTGGAATGAGTTGTACCTGTATAAACCAAAATTTTTAACCAACCCAGGATATGACCAATAATCCACTGGTATTGGCCTAATAGTGAGATAAGATAATACTATGCATGAGTATGTAGATTTTATTCTGGTTGTCATTGTTATCCACTAAAAAAGGACAACACTAACCACTAATGAACTCATCATTTTCCTTAACCAACCATGCACATTGTCAACCAATAATTAATTCATCATTATCTGATAGATGAGCTATAAAAGAATTGCGTGTACCCAGATTGGCTCAGACCAACCAAGAAAGTAGACTAATAATAAGTTTTAAGCTAAGTTAGGTACAGTTCAGCAGTCAGCTCAGCTCATTCATTACGTTGTTGGTCCCACCATCAATTATCCATCTATGAAAAGCCACATGATTAATTGTAAAAAGAAATAAAACTCTTGTGAGTGAGAAGAGCAAACCCATGCATTCACAATATTTCCATTCCTGATGTTCAGCCGAACCTTCTAAGGTCTCCATATCAGAAACATCATAAACAATCATCGTCGGTCTTCAAATAGAGTAACATGTGGTTTACCCGAAACATTGCATTCCCAATTGTGGGTAGCATACTTCGAAACAGCATATTCAATGCCAGATTTGGGTTGTACTAATAATACTTTACTTTGCATGTGAAGCTTTAAAGCATAAATTTGTTAAGAAAAACATGACAAGGATTGTGACAAATTACTTTCAAAATAAAGTATTTAAAAATACAAATGATTGAAGATTTATCCGCAACAATAACTGTACACCTGAAACGGACATTGTTATCACCCATGTCTATATAATCAAATCGTGGGTCATGTAAAACTCTTTTCGCCAAAAATAAAGCACAAGAACCATAATTTTCGTTTTCAAACTTACACAGCTTCCATTTGTAATTTTTTTGTTATTTTGTCTCCATCTGACACCAACTGAGTAATTCCTGGCTTCCCAGCTGGATGGTCAGAAAGGTTGAGATTTGAGAAAGCATTGCTAATAAAATCAGCAGCCTCAGAAGCTGTTCTTCCCTCTGCTTTAATTGTCTTCTCCGGGGTAGGAACTTGAGCCTCTTTCCCAACAGTCAACTCCAACTTCTTGAATTCCTCTTCAATATCTTCATCCTCAAAATCCACGTATGATGGCGTTTGTTCTGCAGTCACCAGAAAGTAAAATAGTGCTCACAAAAAAAATTAAAAATTAAAAATCCTTAATTATTCACATCAAACACAAAGCATTACCGCCACCCTGAAATCCCCTCGAGTTCAATATCTCATACAAAACCAATGAAACCATTTCATTCCATTACAAACTGCAAAAGCACAGTTCAAATGCATGTCACAACAGACAGGACAAATTATACCTAGCAGCTTTTCAACTTCCTTGTGTGAATCAATGCTCTCTTGGATATCTCTTAGACAAAGATCAACATCTTCCACGCTGATCTTATTTTCTTTAATAGCTCGAGCTCCAATCTGCATAGCTTCAGCAACCTGCTAACAAATAACAGATCACCAGTTGTAAAAAAAAAAAAGGAAAAATATATCTTTGGTCTTGTACTTTTTAACAAATTTGTCTTTGATCCTCCAACTTTTGAAAATATGTAATTTTAATCATTTTTATACCTAAATTAACACTTAATTATGACTTTTCACCTTGAGTTAATAAAAGGACTAAATGTGATTAATTACTTATACCTAAATTTGATATTTAGCAATTTTATTTTACTGTTACAAAGTTTATAAAAGAAATAAATCCATTTTTTTTTAAGTTTGATAATTAATGTAAACATTTAAAATATAAGGACCAAAATCAATTTCCACAAAAAGTATAAGGATCAAAACCATATTTAACCAATTATATATATATATATATATATATATATATATATATATATATATATATATATATATATATATATATATATATATATATATATATATATATATATATATATATATATGTAAATATGCAGCTCAAAACATTCTTCAGATTATGATATAAACTGATCAACTTTATATAATGTTTAAAATCATACCTTTTTTGTTGACTCGGCATCAGCAATAACACCAAGTACTTCCTCTACTCTGTTCAAAAGTGATGAACATTTTTCTCTACTCTGGGTGACTAACTTCAGCTCCCTTGCATAGCTAAGGGCCATTTTTTTCTTCCCAGATTGCAGAGAAGCCAATGCTGATTTTCTCAACCTAATAAAATCAATCTGTGAGGCAACTACACATTTTTTAGCAAACATCCCCACATCGATAGTGTTTGATGTGAAAATCACTGCAACTTTTGATTTTTGACTTCTGAAAACAATATACACACTACTCTTGGAACATATATTTGTAGAATTATAACCAATCAAGTTTCAGTGCAGTCAAACTATTGTCCGTTAATCCATGTTTTAAGAGTGGATGACGCACAAACTATCACTAGAGGTCCAAAACCAATTAAGTGAAATGGTTTATGACGGTGGTCACACAACAGAAACAGCAAAGTAAGACATCACGTGAATGAGGATATCATGCACATCAACAGCGGTAATTCGTCAATGTGTTTGGATACGCGTATTTGTGTTAAAAACGACTTATAACCAGAAAGCTACTAAGAAGTTTAACAAAAGAAAAAGCATTTTTTTCTAAAAAAGATCAAAACCAAACATACTGTAGGATAAAATATAATATACCGTAAGAAAGGGAAAATAGTTCAGCATTCAACCGAAGATTTTCTTTTATTTTCTCTTGAAAGTTTTTTACTATTTATAATTAGAAGTTCCTTCAGGATACGTATACAAGTATGAAGATTTATAAAATAAACTCACAATTCATAACGCTTGTCAGTCACATCCAGTTGCTGCTGGAGCTTCTCAGTTGTCCAAATCAGGTGCAATACATCATAATCTAAATCAGTCATACTAGATAATGCTCCAGCTGAAAGAGAAACTTTTACTCCCTGTAAATAAATCAATTAAAAAAAATTGAAATAAGACAAGTATGAGTGCAAAAATTAAGTCAGTATAGATATTCCTGCCTGCCACAAACAGAACATTCTTGGCCAGCATTAATAACAGCCAGAATTTTTATAAGTTTTTATTATTTACTAGAAATGTCAAAAGTTATACATGTCCCGTCCAAGACTCACATGTAAAGGGAAAAATAATTCCCCAGGATAGAATATCAAATGATAATAGTATTTCTTTTTCTGATTGGAATAATAACTTAAGTTTTGGTACCTCTATAAAATCTTTCTTGTTCACTGACAGATACTGTGCTGTTCTACACCCAGACATATACCTCAATATTACAGAGGCCTCATCCTGCCCTCCACATACGTCCTGAAATTTCTTCATTGTGACCATACAAGACGAATTCCAGTGACTCTCAGATAGATGTTTGACAACTTCAGAAGCCTTATCCTATGCATGAAGAAACAAAACTAAAATTAGTAGTAATGATAAAATCTAGCATAATCATGGTTCTAAATTGCAGTCCAAAAACCGCAATTGTAGCTGCAATATGGCTGTTGCAGTGCCTTCCACAACTGCAATGGCCCACAATTGCGGTGTGATTCTGAATCACATAATTTTCCGCAATGAATGTGTCTGCAATAGTCTCAACCAAACCTGGATATTTTAGTTTCATTTTTATCACTAGAAAAAATAAAGATTTTAATTTCAATCTTCCATTCTAACTTCTAAATGTCAATGGTGGAATGAGTATTGGAGTATGGGATACTGAGGGAGTGCAAGAGACATTTCATGATGGGGCGCTGGAGGATAGTGTGATGTATAATTATAGAATATGTATCAATAATTAGAGTAATTACAAAGTTATTATAATGTGCTATTCGTGCACCCATAAAATAATTTTGTGCCGCAACCCACAATCAGCATTGAAGCAGATGCAATATCCACAACCGCAGTGGCTGCAACAGCGAATATGCAATTGCAACGCCAATTGCAAATTAGAACAATAAGCATAATCAAACAAATGAAAACTTAATCCAATAAGCATAATCAAACAAGTGAGAACATAATCCAACTCCAGCAAAACTTAATCGACTTGCTCATACTGCCACTGCATGGAAGCAAACATAATGATCACATTGGAAATCTTAACTACAGATGCATGAGATAAATCAAACACTAACAGCATTTACATAGCATTTGGTTGAGGGAGAGCGACGAGAGGCCAGGGATTGTCATAAAAGTTATTTGGTTCAAAATTATGGAGTGAGGAGATGGGCAACAAAGGGGAAAATCATTGTTCTCCTCCAATTTCCCTTCCCACCAATGTTTAATGGATTTGACGAGTGAAATGCTAAATGCTTATGGACTACTTACTAATTTATCCTTAGTTTAAATACTTGAACTTAATAGTTGAACAAATCTTACCTTTTAGTCCCTACACTGAAAATAATCTTTTTTTGTCGTTACATCTCCAATTTCCCTACCCACCCACCAATGTTTAGTGGATTTGATGAGTGGAAATGCTAAATTTTTATGGACTACAATTACTACTTTATCCTTAGTTTAAATAATTAAACTTAATAGTTGAACAAAGTTTACCTTTTAGTTCCTACTCTTAAAATAATCTTTTCTTGTCTTCATAATAATATTATTAAACTCTTTTTATCCCGATGGCTTCAGATAATAGAATTTAAAAAAGATTAAAAACTGTATGTATAGAGACTAAAAAAGAATTAAAAAATTATATATGTAAAAACTAAATGGATCATTTTTAAGAAGTGTATACACCAAAATGTAAAGTTTGTACAACAAAAATTGAAAATTATACGGGTATAATAATGAAGCACTTTTATTTTTTTGTTCCCTCTTTTTGCGAACCAAAAAAATCTCTCCACCCATCCACAAACCAAACTAACAACCCAGACGAAAAGAAGAGAAAAGAATATAAGCTCTTGAAATAAAAGGGTGCGAGATAACTGATAACCTTAAGCATAGCCGTTACGATGACACATTGTTCAGCCATAATATCTGGAGCTGCTGGTCTTGTTATCAAGGTACTCACTCTTCTAACTAGTTGGGAGAATCGCCCACTCGATGGATCCGCAAGATCCACAGTTCTTGTAATGTCACCTTCATTATACATTAGAGACTGGAAAATGAAAATATGTAAAGACAAAAAAAAAAAAAAAAAAAAAGGCTTTTATGGACAATAACATAACTCAAAGAGAAGGAGTAGTGACTCATACACACTAACCAGTACATTATCAAGACACAGAGGGGTTAACCCTCCACGATTAAACCAGTCATTCTTAACCTGAAAATAATTAATTGAAAATCAGAGAGAAAAAGGAGTGAAATTGAAATTGGAAAAACCTAGTACCACTTCGAACTTACTTCGGAGGGTCGAATAAGGAGGAGGCGAAAATGGGTGGCGATTTTGATGATCAATTGTTTTCAGAAGAGGAGAGTAGGTTCCCAATCGCATCTTTGTCCGGAAAAAGCTTTGAATCGAGCAACGGCAATCACTTCGGCGTCCCAATCAGAAATTTCCTTAGCAATGAAATCCCTAACCCTCGCACCATTCACATTCGAAATCGAATCCATCTTCCGAACTCAATCACTTCCTTTCCGCACATTTTCCTCCCTAAACTTCATAACCCCTTTCATAACGCGCTAAATTCACTACTAACAAATAACAATTTGCTCTTCAAAAAGTCACCGTTAAAAATAGTTAATAATTTTCTTTTGTTTTTTATTTTTTTTTAAATAATTTTAAAGATTAATCTTAGAGTTAATAAATAATTTTAATAATATAATAAAAAGATAGAGGATTTAATCTAATAATAAATAAATTATATTAATAAAAACATAAAATATATTCTATCAATTTTTGTGTTTTAGTTTTATAAAATAATAAACAAATAAATCCTTAATTTTCTTCTTAAATTACAAGATGGGTACTTCAACACGATCAACAATATACAGATTGATATTTATTTTATATGATTGAAATTTATAATAAATAAATTGGCAGGGCTTGTAGAGGCGAATTGAATAGTACAAGGCTTATTTGTTGATTATGCATATGGGCCCAAGCCTAAGCCCACAGTGCTTGTGAAGGGTAGGGAAAAGGAAAGAATGACATTGATCAAGAAACAACATAAAGGGCCTTTCCAACCTAAGTGTAAATTAACTTATATTAAAAATATTAAACTTAACTAATGTTGGGCTAAAAACAATAATAATAAAAAAAAAACTGGTATTAAAATTCGTATGGTTCTCCAGACACACTTTTCACTTTTTTTATGATTTTTTTTTCTTTTGAAACATTAATTGAACTATAAATATATTTGAGCTTATTATTTATAAGATGTAATCTTGTTTAAAACATTATTAAACATTAACATCCCTTCTTTGGTAGAGATAAAATTAATTTAACGGATGAAAATAGAAAATAAATATGGTTGGGTTTTCGATTTGAAAAAGTTTAAAATGATTTGATTTAGACAAAAAGAAAAGGGAAAATTTTAATTATAATTAAAAAATATTATTTTATCATATTTAGTGGATGTTTGACGAACTAATACAAACTGATACATTTAATTCATTATAATAAGCATGTAATAGAATAAATGAAGAAAGATGGGACAAAAGTTTGGAGAACATAGTCATGTGATTTGACAAGAGAATGAGAACACAGAGAACTTTGAATGGGAAGAGGCCCAGAAAAAAAAAAAATAGAGAGGGGAAGAGGGATTACTAGAGGACATGAATCATTTATTTTTTGGGGGATGATAACTATTTTTAATTTCAATTAAATTTGATTGATAACCCATCATTGAATGATTGAGATATTTTGAGTGATTAAAATGCACGCATTCATTAATTTCCTCTTTAACATTAGCATCATTGATGTAGTTTTCATTCTCCCCACCACAAAACCAAGGGCATAGTCACAACAAATAAGAGTTCAACAGGTGATGCAATTTAGTCATATTTTTATACAGTGGTGGAGTGTATAAAATTTAGATTTGATAAAAAAAAAATCAGATTTAATGAGTGAGTGGCAGTTTGATGAGACTAAACTTGAGCATGGGAAATTAACCCTAGATCTTCAAAGTTTATATCAGCGAAAGTGATGTAACGTTGATGAGAGTTGACCATCATTTCCCACTAATCCATTCTCTTTGGATTAGCCTTGTTCCTTGGATTTAAAGTCATACTGTAATAATGAGTAGGAGTTATTTACTCACTTGGTTCATCTTTTTTCTTATAATTTTAATTTTTCCATCAAACTTGACTTGGTCGTACACACTCACTCATGAAAAGTGACGTGCCTTTCTCCCCTTGAAAAGCCGAGCATTCTCCCTCAATTCTAACATATGTCACTGTAGTAAATCAAAATGGGACGTGGGAAAAGAAATTTTTGACAAGATTCTATGAGAATAGCATCTTGTGACACTACGTCACTAATTATGGTGCTAATCATAATTAATCCGTCCAAGATTTGATACATCCAATATGACCACGGATTTCTCTCTTTCTCTTTCTTTAATTGCGAATTATGTTTTGTACGATAGCCATAACTTAGACACATGCATGTGCTAAATTACCTTTAGCACTAACCTCGTTATTAACCACTTATAACTATGTTTTAAAAAATTCAACACTAGTTTAAAAAAATAAAAAAACAAAAAGAGTGAGTTGGAAACTTAAAAGGAGTTGTTAATTGGGTGTTGTTGAATAGAGCCGTGTATGCGGTGGAGCTTAATAGCATGCAAGAACATGGGATGTTTCGTAGAATAAATTGTGGGATTTGAGAGAATTAGATGTTGATGTGTTGGACGTTAACATCAAGGAGTTTCTAAGGACGAATAAGGCAATGACATGTGTGAAATTTACAAAGTGTTAATAAGAGCTAAGGTTAGCACGATGTCTAATCCCATTATCTCAAGGTGATGATGGTTGGTGTTTCTTGTCAATTGGTTGTCATCCTCTTTAAGAAAGGGATAGGTTAAAGATAATGAAACAAGGCAAATGAAGGCACCTCTCATCACTTATGACTCTATATATATTCAATTCAAGGACACCTTCATCGATGGTTAAACATAACTTGTTGTTCAAGATTTTGTAACTTCCCCCTACTAATAACCTATCCCATCACCAACCAAATACCACACCTTTTCTTTCTTTCTTCTTTTCTTCTCACTACTATGCCCCGAATCATTAAGATAAGTGGTAAAATACCCTATATTACAAAACTAAAAAATCAATTTCATTCTTTAATATGCTATTTTGATAACAATAAGCAAAATAATAGGTTTATGACTAAAGCATAGCTAGCGCGAAAATGATTGGAATGGGAACAAATAAAAAGATTTTGAGTTTCGTAATGTGTGGTTTTGTTTGGATAATATATAGCAAATATTTGGTTCCTAGAAGATACGCTGCAACTCAACATGCCGCAACTTCTGCGATTGCCTGCAAGAAGCCAAAAACTGTAGCCACTTTTAATCATTGATATTAAGGTTACCATCCTCCCACTTCAAATTTTGTTCAGACCAAACAAAACAATTAAAGTGACCTATTTGTTCATTTCTCAACCATCACTCCTTCTATTTTTTGTTTCAATCAACATATCCTTCATCACTTGATCCACTTCTACAAGGGTCATGATATTTTGACAACCTTAACAAAAAACAATTCAAAAAACAACTCATTTTATTAATATAATAATCATGAAAGAGATTAAATAAAAATGAAAATAAGTTAAAATTATTATTATAATATTAAAAGTGAGTTATTTGTTAAAGTTGTATAAAATTGGATTGTCAAAGTATCATTTTTCCTTCTACAAACTCTTTATAATGAAGCTGTTCTTTTTAACATAAATTAATCTAAAATTGTCTTTGTCCTTTCCAATATATAAATATTTATTTAATTGAACTGGCTAATTATTCAATTTTCCAATATATAATTAATGTTAGTAGTTTATTATACTCTTTTTAATTTATTTCTTAAAGTATTAAACCTAGTTTTGTTATTTAAAGTCAAAATCATTTCTTATGGTATCAACGTCTATGGTTATCAAACCAACAATTACATAAATTAAATTCAATCATAAAAGTATCAAGAGTAGAGGTCAATAGATACAAAGATAATTAAAAATTGAGAAATCATTAATTAATTAATTAATTAATTAAGAACTACGCTATACCCCTAAAAAAAATTTTACTCACACATATATGATAATGGGTCTGCTTTTGTTACATATTGAATTAATTTTTAGGGTTTTTTTAAAGAAGGTGAGGCTACATGTGCATTTATTTATAATCACAAACTAATTATTTTTCAAAAAAAAAAGAGCATATACACCATTTTTTTTTAAGTATTTATTATTTCAATTTTTATTTTTTTTAAAGTGACAATTTACCTAATAAAATCTTTGATATCAGAACACAACAATCGGTCATTAACGTGAATAAAATAATTGACAAATGGGTTAAAACGGATTTGCCGACAACCACTGTGTACGGTAAAATTGGAATCAGGGGGCAAGGTATCAACGGTAATTAACTATCTTCACATCAATTCATTTATTTTTAAATCGTAAACGAATTCAAAAACACAATAATCACACCAAGACACGTTGACTTCTGATAAATCACATATAAAGACTTTAATGATATTGATCGCGATTAAATAAAAATAAAAAAGAGCACGGAGAAATATTTGCCACAACACTTTACAGCAAAGGAAATAAATATACGATAAAATAGATTTAGAAAAAAATCAATAATATCTTAAAATATGTATAATAAATTCTATAATCCATCTTCTAATTATCCAATTAAACTAATCATATTTGTAATCACTAACTGACTACCTAAACAATTTTTTGCATATTGAATTAAATGACGACAAGAGTATTATTACATGTAGGGTATTACTGGACTACACGCATAATATTTAAGGTGTTATGTCGCATAAATAATTAGGGTTTGGTTGTCGAACAAACATAAAGTTTTAATTTTTTTTACAGCCCTACAAACACAAAGTTAGGGATCGCATTGAATATATTTTTATCTTCTTTGATATAAAAATGAGATAATAATATCATAATATGTGTGTTTAAAAAGTGTTGGGTCCTGCATGAGCAAAGGTATGTCCCATGCAGTCATTCTTCACCCATCTAAGCTCAATAATTCAATGGTTTTGCTTCCATTTATTCTGTCTATGTATGGCTCAGCACAGTGCCACCTCTGCAACTTATCCTCTTTTCAAACTGGAAGAAGATATCACGTTGCACATGTACGTGTACTCATCCTGAAGATCCTGACATTACCTTGTATTTTCCCTGTCACTTCCTCTCTTCCTTCAATCATATCATACTTCATTTCAGCAACTACGTAGATGCAATATACCCATTCATTGTTACTCTAAATGAGACTATATGCATAAATAAACGAACAAAGTAGAGATGCTTTCAACTTCCAGGTAAATTGTGCGTATTTTATGCTCAAATATACTACATGCTTTCAAGAATAGTGAATGATTTGGTTTGCTTAGCAGCATTAACTCGAGTCAATAAATACACTGTTTGG